CTTTAGAAGCCATTCACTCATTCGGAAGATCTCAATTGAGTTGAGTCAACTGGTTAGGCGGTGACTCACAGCGAGAGAGAAAAAAAAGGTCAAAGGGGCCTTTCACCGCCCTACAACGCACTCACTCCACTGCACAAAAGAAACAAACCCCACTGAGTGGCCGACCCAAACTGCTATCATATCGCCTCTGTTCCCGCAAGCTGCAATTTTCATCCATCACCACGCTCTCGACCCTCGCCGGTTTTCTACTCCCCCCACATTAGCCTCCTCCTTCCTCCGAACAGCTACTGTATTTGGGTCTAACATAGCAATCATGGCTGCCAACGGCGATTTTTCCGATGATGAATCCCAGCCGGGATCCCCCATGCTTAATGCGAACGGTCATGATGATATTGAAGAACAAGAGCCCCTCGACCAAGAGGAGAAGCCTCTCAAGTCTGCGATGAAGAGTGTGTCCCCTGTTTCCCAGCCCAAGCGGCCGGAGCTGCCCGAACAGCCAGACCCCACTACCCTTGACCTGTCGACCCTGACCCCTCTGTCGCCCGAAATCATTGCGCGCCAGGCCACTATTAACATTGGTACCATCGGACACGTCGCTCACGGAAAGTCAACGGTGGTCAAGGCTATCTCAGAGGTTCAGACTGTCCGTTTCAAGAACGAGTTGGAGCGAAACATCACAATTAAGCTGGGTTACGCCAACGCCAAGATCTACAAGTGCGACAACCCCGAGTGCCCTCGCCCAACATGTTTCAAGAGTTTCAAGAGTGAGAAGGAGATTGACCCTCCCTGTGAGAGAGATGGGTGCACAGGTCGTTATAGGCTGTTGAGACATGTCTCGTAGGTGACTCCGTCTACTATATTGCTATTCAGCCTTAATTGCTAACCTTTTTACTCCCCTCAGCTTCGTCGACTGCCCCGGTCACGATATTCTGATGAGTACCATGTTGTCAGGTGCCGCTGTCATGGACGCAGCTCTTCTTCTGATTGCCGGAAACGAAACTTGCCCTCAGCCCCAAACTTCGGAACATTTGGCAGCTATCGAGATTATGAAGCTTAGCCATATTATTATCTTGCAAAATAAGGTTGATTTGATGAGGGAAGAAGGAGCTCTTCAGCATTACCAGTCGATTTTGAAGTTCATCCGTGGTACTGTTGCTGATGGCTCTCCTATTATCCCCATCTCCGCTCAGCTCAAGTACAACATTGATGCTGTCAACGAATACCTCGTTTCCCACATCCCTGTCCCTGTCCGTGATTTCACCGCTTCGCCACACATGATCGTCATCCGTTCATTCGATGTGAACAAGCCTGGTGCCGAAATTGATGAGCTGAAGGGTGGTGTTGCTGGTGGTTCCATTTTGACTGGTGTGCTTAAGCTTAACGATGAGGTCGAAATCCGCCCTGGTCTCGTGACCAAGGACGAGAACGGCAAGATTCAATGCCGCCCCATCTTCTCCCGGGTTGTTTCTCTCTTCGCAGAGCACAACGACCTGAAGTTCGCTGTTCCTGGTGGTCTGATTGGTGTCGGTACCCGTGTGGACCCTACTCTGTGCCGTGCTGATCGTCTTGTCGGTTTCGTCCTGGGCCATCGCGGACGTCTGCCCGCCATTTACACCGAACTGGAGGTCAACTACTTCTTGCTGCGCCGGTTGTTGGGTGTCAAGACCGCCGACGGCAAGCAGGCCAAGGTTGCTAAGCTGAGCAAGAACGAGGTTCTGATGGTTAATATCGGTTCTACCGCCACCGGTGCTAAGGTCATGGGCGTCAAGGCCGATGCCGCCAAGCTGAGCTTGACCAGCCCTGCCTGTACCGAAATTGGCGAGAAGATTGCCATCTCTCGCAGAATCGACAAGCATTGGCGTTTGATCGGTTGGGCAAACATTATGGCGTAAGTAATCTTTCTATTCCATCATAGGATTTTCCTGGACGATAGATATCTAACTTTATAACAGCGGTAACACGCTCGAACCTATCCTGAACTAAGCGAGCTATCATGTGCGTGTATATGTAGCTTGACCTTACCGGGCCAGCTGGAAGGGGAATGAAGGAAATCCAAATTTCTGGTTCCCTCTGTTCCTCAGACAATAGGCCTTGAAGGGTTCAAGCTTCATGGGGAATCTACCACAGGAACAAAATAAGGCATCTGTTTTTTACCCATGAATAGAGAACGCAGGAGGACCAATCGCCGTCCATGCTTCTTGGTAGGAGTGTCAAGGGGAAGAACACTTGGGATATCCCGCATTCGCGGCCTATGCAAAGGATCCCAAGAACCAAGAGCCCATTATGTCCAACGGGTGATGGATGGATTGGGGGGGGTAAGTTGTTACGGATGGAGTAGGACACTACTTCTTTGACGTGTGTTATGACGCTGTTCAGTGGAAAAATTCTTCTATGTTCATTTTTATTACTTCTTTCATATTCTTTCTACTTGCGTGAACCTATGTAGGGGCTACTTATAGGGAGATGACGAATGCAATGAAAAAGTCAAGCATTGGGTAGATGATTACATACCGGGAAGATGTGAAGGCCTTGCCCTATACTCGCTCTGGTAATAATGAGTACATTTATGGTTAATTTCACAATGGACACTATATCCATATTTCTCCCCGAGAGAGTACTACTCGTAGTATACCTTTGGATAAATACCCAAGTAGACCTATATAACCATGATGATAGGACTGCGATGTCTCTTACTCTACCACTTCTGTCTGGATAATTCAGGATATTAATTTTGAGCTCATGGTTTTTGGAAGTAAATACATTGGGGGTATCGCAAATATATACTATGGCTTAGGTGGTCTCTTCATCTATCCTAGCCCTCCTATGCTAAATATAGCTCTACAGAACACCCAGGCTACTAGCCTAGCAGTAATTTATTCCTACCAAATTTCAATGGACTATTGGCGATCCACTCAGCCTATTGATTGAACTTCCTATTGTGATTTATTCACAGGCAACCACAATAGGTAAATGACATACACCCTGTACATACAATGGATACATTCTTGGTTCCACCGTATCAAAACTGTGTAATGGACTAGTAACAACAACAGGTGACTAAGGCACTCCATTCTCCCGCAATACTTCAGAGCACAACTTGTTTGGAATGTTACTATCAACCTGACAAACAACACAGCACTTCCTTGACATTAGGGCAAAGCTGTTGTTGTGTTCACTTCAACATGTATATACTCGAGGTAAGCTCCTTGTCTTTAAAATCTCCCTGAAGAACTCCACGCCTCCGCGGTGACACCTGTCTGGTTATGATAAAGAGCTATAGCTGATCTGGCTTACCGTGGCGGTTATAGCAATTGGCGCGTCTCCTCGACCGCCCGTTCTTCCCATGGAAGAATGTCCTTGTGGGATTCTCTTTGGGGCAATTTGTTCTCGAAGGTCTGCTGTCTCTCCGTCAATATAAGGTCCTGCAGCGAACAAAGCCTCCACAGGTTTTGCAAAATGAGGTGTCTCAGAAGGTCTTCGATCAAAGTCAAGTAAGCATGCGCATCATCCATCCAGGCCCAGCGTCACACCTAACCGCATTTCCAGTCTTACGGTCGCGCGAAAGCGAAGTTCGGCTTCGTTGCTGGTCTCTATGGTCAAATTCAGAATCTTGCGTTTATCTACGGTGATATCCTCCCCAAGCTCTGGGGAGCTAGCGGTCTCTTGTTGGCACAGTACTTCCCTTCTCGGTTTCAGGGCGAAATCACACAAACTCTAGTGTTTCTGTTTGGGTTCAACCTGATTAGCACCATTTTGTCACTGCCAATCTCGTACTACAACACTTTCGTCTTGGAAGAGAAATTCGGCTTCAACAAGCAGACACTCAAGCTCTGGGTTACGGATATGCTGAAGGGTCAGATGATCGGTATTGTGCTTGGAGCGCCCATTATTAGCGCAGTGCTCAAGATCGTCCAGAAGACCGGTAACTCATTCTTCTACTACCTGTGGCTTTTTGGTATCTTCGTCCAGGTCTTTGCCATTACCATCTACCCGATCGTGATCCTGCCATTGTTCAACAAGCTATCGCCTTTGGAACCTGGTGACCTAAAGACCGGCGTTGAAAACCTCGCCAAGAAGCTTAACTTCCCTCTCCAGGAACTTCACGTCATCGATGGTAGCAAGCGGAGTGCTCACAGCAACGCCTATTTCTACGGACTGCCTTGGAAGAAGCATATTGTTATCTACGATACTCTGATTGAGAAGAGTGAGTCCGAGGAGGTGGTCGCTGTTCTGAGCCATGAATTGGGCCATTGGAGTCTCAGCCACACCACCAAGCTGTTCGGTATCGCTCAGGTATGTTAACCTGCTTGATGATCGTGTGGGACAGGTCCAACTGACTGTTGTAGTTCCACATGTTCTACATCTTCGCTCTTTTCTCAGTCTTTGTAAACAACAAGTCCTTGTATCAATCTTTCGGTTTCATTAACGAACAGCCTATCATGATTGGATTCCTTCTGTTTTCGGATGCTCTGGCGCCAATGGATGCCGTTGTCAAGCTTTTGATGAACATCCTCAGTCGCAAGTTTGAATTCCAGGCTGGTATGTTCTTCTGCTTTTGTTGTGGTGGTGTTATTGTGCCATGATCAAGGGCTAACAATCATTCAGATGCGTTTGCCGTGCAGCTTGGCTATTCCGAGAAGCTCGCCTCGTCTCTCCTCAAGCTCCAGATCCAGAACTTGAGCACCATGGATGCCGACTGGATGTACGCCAGCTATCACTACTCTCACCCGATCCTTTCCGAGCGACTCAAGGCTCTCGGCTGGAAGGGTGGAAAGGTCACGGATTATAAGGCGGAAGATGATGAGAAGCCCGTTAAAGCTGCTGACCGCGAGCTGTGAGCCATTCTGATGCTGCTATCTTTACTCGCATTCTCGGTGATTGTTCAGACTTTTGGAAAATTTCGGTTATTCGGTCCTGTAGGACGGGGTTGGTGTTTTTTGTAGAAGTGTGGGAATCCATCATTCAGAAAGAACAGTAATAAAACAAGAAAGAAAACTCCTCTGGTACGCCAAATACAGAATGCGTGGCTTTTGATACCCAACCGAACAGAATCAATCCCATAGCAAGATGATGCCAACAAATCCTTTCAGTCATAGACCCATAACAGCCTCCTTTTTTCCCCTTCTATACTCTCTCCCTGGCTTTCCCTTTGCCGTCGGATTTACTCTTCGGCTTGGGTCTCAGCCTTCGCTTTAGCCCTCTTCTCTGCCAATCTCCTCTCCTTCTTCTTCCGCTTCCTTTCCTCCTTATCAAGAGCACCGGCCTCCTGTTCCGCATCGTCTACTTCCATCTGTCCCTGCACATCATTCTCGTCCTGCATTACGTCGCCATTCTCACCCTCCTGGAACTTCTTCGCATCCTCCCAATCCCCGTTCGCTCCCACTGGCTGCGCATCTCCCTCCTCCAGCTTGGCAAGCGCCAAATCACGTCCTAGGACCTCGCCCGCCAGGCCGGCCTTCACGCGCTTCAGGTTGTGTATCGTGAGGTTCGGCGCAGCGGCTGTGGTGCGCGAAACGGGGCCATGCTCGCTGATACCGGCGTTGGGTTGGTATGCGGGGTCTGTAGCGGCGAGGTCGATGTAGGCAGCGAGGAAGTCATGCGCCGCTGATTGAGAGATGGACTTGGAGTTGAGAATGAATGTTGGGGGGAGGGGCGAGGGGCCTGTAGCCATTGTGACGGTTTATATGTTCGATCGATGGTATAGAGTCGTATAGTTTTTCTCCTGGTGATGGTATACCGTGCGCAATTGAAAAAAAAAAGTCCGCCTATAAATCAAATATCAAAAAATTGGGTCGTGCATGCACAAACGTTAAGACAGAGAGAGAGCTCAGGTATATCGAGATCTGAAAAGAAAAAAAGTTGGAGGATGGAAAGGTGGCCCGTGCTCTCTCCGCCGGAGGTTCAATTTTCGTTCCGCCCATCAATTCGATACTCCAAGCGGTCTCTACCCTCCCAACCCCGTCAATCAATCTCTCGCCAGATCCCACGCCATCCTTCTTGCTCTTCTTCTTAAGCCACGTGGACCATTCTCGGTGCTCACTGTCCATTCGAATTCGCAACAATGCTTTGCTTCCGGTGCAGGGCCATGCCCTCCGCTCTGAGGACGTACTCGTCCCCGATGTCCATGTCGAGGTAGGTAACAAAGCATAATACCATAACCCCCCATGGCCGGCCTCAAGAACAAGCTCGCAGTACCAACAGCTCTAATCCAGATACCTGAGTCCCAAAACCACAACAACCACACCTTTCAGCACCCTCTCCTCACCATTCCGCCCCATGACCAACTTCACCACCATCATCCGTCCCCAACTGCAGACCCTAAGCAACACACAACTCCCCTCCGCGGCTACGCCATCCGCCCAACAGACCCGCTCTTTCTCCGCCAGTGCCTCCCTGGCCGGTAAGCGCGCGACCTACAACCCCTCGCGACGGGTGCAGAAACGGCGTCACGGATTCTTGGCCCGGGTGCGGTCGCGTGGAGGACGGCTGATCCTCCTGCGGAGGAGGGCGAAGGGCCGCAAGTCCCTGAGTTGGTAGATGGGCCTCGGGGGCTACGTTGATTGCTGGGTAATGGACAACACGCGGGATCTGTATGATGGGGCTGCCCGAGTTACATGGTTTGTTCTTTTATTCGTCGGTTTTGAGGGCTTGAGGCTTTCTTTTTTTCGTTGTCGGGGCAAGGCTACTTACTAATGCCTTGGATATAACGGGACGTGATAGTCCTACTGTACCATATACAATGCATTGATCTGTTTTATGTGCGATGTGTTGGGGGGGGTTTTTTTTTCTTTCTGGTAGATATATAATCAGAGTTCTACGTGTATTAGACGATGGCTTATAGTGCGTAGATACTGGCAGCATCTCTCAAAGAAAAAGAAAACAAACATTAGATTGAGTTTCCTAATCTATGGGTTTTCTATTGCTGCGGTAGTTGCCTGTCTTCGTCTACTGGTCGGTTGTTTCATGCCAAATCTTGATGTATACCATTCCAATCATCGTAAAATATCCGGTTCGTTATTGAAAAACATCACTCGTCGTCATCTTCGTCATCTTCATCATCTTCCGATCCAGTTTCATATTCGTCATCATCGTCTTCGTCGTCGGACTCCTCGTCCTCGTCATCACCAACCTTCAGGCCGTAGTCGTCCTCAAAGTCCTTGAGCGGCTGCACCTCGGGAGTGAAACCGGACGACTGGAGACCCTCCTTGATAGTCTGAGCGAACTGGTTAGCTTTGTGCGCTTTAAACGGTTGGACTGTCAGTTGTTATCATACCTCTTCAAGCACGGTAGCGCAGGTAATAACGATGTTAGCCGTCTTGGGATCAAACAGGGGAAGAATGATGTCCCGGAGCGCGCCCTTAATATCGTCAACGCTAATGTTCCGAACCTGCCGAAGCATCTTCTCCTTGTAGTCGCTGGGCAAGTTGCGCACGACCTGGCGGGTAAAGCTGCCTTGGGCTGCACCGGCAATGGTCGCCTGCTCGTTGGCATAGCTGACCACAATGCTGCTGATCGATCCCTCCAGCATCAGAGGGTCGAACGGAATAGCACCGGACAGATGGTCCTTGACAATCTGCTTGCTTGACTCAAAGGCCTTGTGAGCGTTAGGGGACCGATACACGTCGAAATTGACAAAGCCAGTGTCGATGTTGTAAGCAAAGTTGGTGCCATATGCCAGTCCAGTGCCACGAACTGCAACCCAAAGAGGACCCTCAACTGCATTCATGTAGGCAATTGCAACCAACAACGCAGGAAGTCTGGGGTCGTTGTACGAATCAAGGCCCCGAGCGGTTGCGTACGCGAACGACGAGTCAATAGTGGGCATAGGAACCACATAGGACTCTCCACCCAATTTCTGACCGGCCTCGCTCAGCAAAGCTCTTCTTGCTGTGATGGGCTGGAGGGTAGAAATCGCGCCAAGTCGCTCGACAAATGGCTTCCAGGAAGAGACAGGACTCTTGAGTTTCTCAAGATCAGCAATGACCAACACTCGCATGTTTTCGAACTGGAACAGTGCCTTTCGGATTTCTTCCATGCGGGAGACCACGACTTCTGGTTCCTCAGCCAACTGTTTCTTGATCCTCTTGAGATAGCGTGCCTTCACTAGGGTGCTTCGGGCGCGGACTATGGACTCAGCTGCGTAGTGGACCATGACATGCACTGCTGCGAGCATGTCATCGCCACTACGCTTGGAATCCGGCACGTCGGAGAGAAGACGACTAGTAATTGCTCGCAGTCGCTCCACGTCGAAGATTGAGTTCCAGGACAGCTCCTGAAGCCATGCAATCGCCGTGCTATACTTCTCCAGCTCGACTTGGAAGGAGATACGCAGCATTTCTGAGTTGCCGAGACTTCTGGCATTTTCCATCGCATATCCAACTGTGTCCCTCTCCAGTTCAACAACAACCTGTTCGAAGTTGATGGTTTTTCCATCACGCTGAACTGGGAGGTTGAAGAAAGCTTCAGTGTAGATAGAAAGAAGGGGACGAAGTTGAACCGGAACAGACTGAGCTGAGATAAGAAGGGAAAGCTGGACGAAATTGCTAGGAATATGCTCAAAGTGGATAAACAGAGGCATTTCGGAGCCATCGGCGTCTACGAGCTTCTGGGCAGTGTGGTCAGGGCGTCCCGCCTTCAAAGCAGCACCAGATCTGGCCGTGGTAGTTTCCACAAAATGGATTGATTCAACCCCAGGGATGCTGAATTTCTCCAGCATCTCCTTGGGAATCTCCTTGTCGTTCTCGGCTTTTGCTTTTTTGAGCTTCTCAGCCAGCTGCTTCAGGCCTGCTTCACCAAGACGCTTTTTCTGTGCTGCCACTCTGGCTTCTTCCTCCTTCTTTAGCGTCTCAGACATCTTCATAGATGGCACGCCCAAAATAGTGACATGGGGAGCATCCGAAATCCATCTCTTAATGAAACTTCGCCATTCATTCTCACTCCACTTCTCCAGTACGTCGTACTCTTTCAAAGTCGCAACATCCAGGAGAGTCGAACCATCCCTCTTTCCAAACAGGAAATCCGAGATAACGTACTCGGCGAGGGAGGAAGCGGAGCTTTCAGTAGAGAATTTCCAGGTCCGCCTTTGTCGGTCAATACATTCTTTGAGATAGTTCATGTCTAGCTCTTTCTCCATTGCATCCTTCAGCACTTCAAAGAAGCGCTGTTCCACTTGGGCTAGCTTATCGGTTTCCACACTGGTCAGAGTGAACCGAATCTCAAAAGAGGGGTGGTCTTCAGTGGCATAGTAGACGGCACTTGCCAGTTGTTCCTTTTCGACAAGTATGTTGTCTAGGAGTGAAGCGGATGATCCGGCAAGGTACAAAAGTGTAACATTGAGGGCCCCAGCTTTGAAAGTGTGAGCATAGTTGCGAGATGAAAGGGAAGGTTGGCTGCTTACTTTGAACAGGATCTGTAGAATCCGGTCCCAGGAATCTGATCTCGATCTCTCCAAAAGACTCATCTTCTTCGGGAAATTCTACCTTCTCCACAATAGACTTTTCCAATGGCGGGGCCTGTTTGGAGTCCACCCATGGTCGCTTGAACGGAGCATCTGGACTTGGGATAACATCTAGAATGGTATCTTCAAATTTGTCCAGTGTCTCAAGCATATTGGCATGGTCGACCTCACCCGTGATGATCAAGCACAGGTTTTTCGGTTGATACATCTCTCGGTGAAATTCTCTAATTCTCTCTGCCGTGAGAACGCGGAGCTGCTCCATCATACCACCAGTCTCATAACGGAAGCCCACACCATGTGGGTAAGTCAAACGACGAGCACTCAAGTCTATAAGTTCTGCGGAGTTATTCTGCACACCCTGCATCTCAGAGTACACAACGCCTGCATCGTTTCCAGTTCCATCGACGTGATGTACTTCTGTGTAGCAGCCTTCGTCTGTCAAGGTTGGAGCTATTACATGCTCGAGGTATACAGGCAGAATCTGTGCAAATCCTTCCCAACCTGCTGTGTCAAGCGTGTACGCCGTATGGTCTGTAGCTGTCCAGGCATTGGTACTAGAATAAACCCGCGTAGCGAGCTTATCAAGAAATCCCTTGTATCTGTAATTACGAGAGCCCATGAAGCATAAGTGCTCCAACGTATGCGGGGCTCCGGAATCATCATGGATTTCCGTGGCAAGGACAAAGTATCCTGTTACTTTAGGGCCTTTTTGGTCGATGACCACGACCCGCATACCAGTTCTCTCAGATTCATACTGGACAAATTCGCTTGGCGAGTAGTCCGGTTTGAATTTCTGTAGTAACTTGAAATGGCTTTTCTGACTCGGGGACATTTTGCTAACCGACCCTGAAAACCTCTGACGATGTATCTTAAACCCAGAGTCTGCGATCGTTGTTTGTGACAATGATCTGTACAGGGGTCAGTAGGCGATACTATATAGCGACGCTAGACCACAAGATAAAGCACGGATTTCACTACTAAGTCAAAGCAAACTAAGATACAAATAGGACATTGAAGAAGCAGGTCAAGGTGAACAGCATCCACAAAGCATGCGGAAACACATTCGGTGATATAATACCCCCAATGGGTAAACAGTGGCTTTATGCGACTTGATTGAAGAGGGGCTGTTTCCACTTTTTTGCCGGCTTTTTTTTTTCTCTTTTTTTCTTTTTTCTTCCCAAAAATAGCGAGCTGACGATAGGAACTTACATGGATCGAATAGGGTTTGCCCAAGTCAGGCCTCGTAAGAAGAGTCGGGACAGCACGATGGACTCTGCTTAACAGTTGATATTAATGTTACAAGGACGTCGTGGACAGTTTGGCCGCAGTTGGGTTTCGGTCCCCTCGAGCTGTGACGGAGAGTGGAGTTTGGGTCCCGTTGTTTTAGAGGATCACCACGCCAACAAATGCTCAATTACACATGTAGAGATACTCAGGACATGACCTCTGCACAGGTCAATGAGAGTTAGAAGGAGTGAAAGCAAAATAAATAGTCAAAAGGAGCAACAAAACTAAGTCATTAACAACTCATAGTCCACAAAGATTCCTCCAATTGAATGGTCGTGAATTGGGGCCAAGGCGGTGAAAGCGATGAAGTCACATGGGGTTGACAGCTTGTTTCCTTCTTCTCCTCTGCTTGCTGCTCCCAACCATTCCAGGCAATTCAATTTTCAAGGGGCTTTCAATCTGCAGACAGTGAGTAGCGGATTGGGTCACTCGCGTTTGTTCTGTCCTCGGAGGAGCCTTATCATTCGTTGACGAACGGCGGAGCTGGTCGCAATCGGACACGTTCGCTATGGCCCACAAGGCATCGGAGCAGGAGATATGCCAGTCAGTGCTTGGTTTTGTAACGGAGGGCACCTACCCAACATCTGAGAATGTAATTGCCGCGGAGTTTCCGGTATCTGCTCTCGCAAGGGAGCTAGATCTTATATCAAAGGCAAGGGAGGAAGTGGAGGTGAGTAGCACCAGTTGCGAACCCCGCGCTGCGGCCAGCGCTATTGCCCTTGCGACTAATCCACGATATACTTATTTTTTTTGTCATGTCAAATAGGCGGAGATTACTGCACTAAGCCGGGACAATGACTTTGACGCCGATGGATGGATTTCGCAAGCAAAACAACTTCATGCAGACATCGAGCGATCTCGTATCACTGCGAGGGAGATCGTCGCGCAGCATGAGAATACAAACCCTTTACAACTGAAGGTTGAAGACGCCGCTGCCAAGTTTCATTTGGTTGAAACTGAAATCGCATTCAACCAAGCTGTAACGCACACACTTGAAGAGGTACAAAGACTATGTCAGCGACTCGATGCTGGGCGGGCCATCCTTGGGGAGGGCCAGGTGATGGACGCAATCGAAACATTAGAAGCGACCGAGGAGGCCATAAGAAAAGACAATCTCTTTTCAAACACCACTGTCATGCACGTATTATTAGAGAATGTCAGCGAACTGCGGAGGGAAATTGCGGAGTACCTCCGTGCTCGCTGGAGCAAGCAGCTGAACGTTAACAGAAGGGAGAGTATCTTGACACTCTTGAATGACAATGGTAAGAATTTCCCCAATCCTGGATCTCACAATTTCTTGCTGAACCAAGCAGGACATTCATTGGAAGAAACTATCGCGGCTCTGGCCCACCTTGATATGCTCGCGTTGTGCAAGGATAAGTTCGAGAAAGACTTACTTGCTACCCTTTTCGATCCTATTCTACTGCCTGCAGTTGAAGGGCAAAGCCGTGGTATCAAGATTGGAGAGTCTTCAATTCAGATAGAATCCCAACCATCGAAGGCATCAGTGTCTGAGGTTTTGGACCGCCTCGCCACAGCCTTGGGCTTCCTACGCCAACACCTTCCAGCAACAGTCTCGGACTCATTTTCGGATTCACTCATCCCGACACTTTCATCGAAGGTGATATCCTTCTGGCTGTCTTCTGCGATACCAACAGACCTTGAAGGTCTGAGTATGTTCGAAGACATCTTAAATTACGTTTTAAAGTTTACCAATACGTTGGAGACATTTGGGTGGCAGGGGTACGAGGAACTTGTTTCTTGGGTCAATCAGGCCCCTCGTTTATGGCTAACCAGGCGTCGAGTCGATTCATTGGACCAAGTTCGCAAAGTCCTGGCTGTTAGTCAGGGTACCACAAAGCAGGTAGAGCGTATTGAAAAAGAGGAGGTTTCTGGTAAGGATGAGGTTCTACTGGATAATACGACTGACGATTGGGATGCTGGCTGGGATGACGAGAACGAACACGAGACCGCAACGAAGCATGCTGGAAATAAAGAAGACGAAGAGGATGTCAGCGCATGGGGTCTTGACGACGATACCGAGGAGAACACAGCTGAAACGAAGCCTGATCCATCTGCTGAAGATGACGCTGCCGATGCTTGGGGTTGGGGAGACGAAGATGAGGAAGAGCAGCCCGATGATGCACAGACTAAAAGTACAAATGGGGGCAAATCTGTCAATGGGAAAGAGTCGGCACATCATTCCTCTCCCCGGGAGGTCACATTGAAAGAGCAGTACACCGTAACCGACATCCCTGATTCTATCCTCGAAATCATTCAGCAGCAAATCAAAGACTCTGCAGCTATATCACAGCCTATGTACGTCGAGCTTGACTTAGATATCCACACATGCACTGACTCTGTTCTAGGCATTCTCACTCCCGCGTTGTTTCCTCTGGTGCAGGCCTTCTTGCACTTCCGACCTTGATACTCGCCATGTTCAAGGCCACGGCATCATCGTTCTACGGCCTTAAACTCAACTCAGGGCAAATGTACTTATACAACGATTGTTTGTATCTTGCTGATAAAGTGCGTAATCTCTCAAAGGAACATCAGCTCACCAGGCTCCATGCCGATATCGATGCGCTCGAGAAGTATGGCAAATTCGCCTACAGTAGAGAGATGCAAACGCAACGCACCATCGTCACAGACCTGCTGGACGGCGCACAAGGTTTCAGCCAATGCTCTGAGCAACCGTTCCTGGGAGAATGTGAAAATGCAGTTGGTGCAACTGTGGACAGAATCCATGACGTCTACAGGGAATGGCAACCGATTCTGTCACATTCCGCACTACTTCAGTCTGTTGGTTCTCTGGTTTCAACTGTTATCAACAAGATCATCATCGAGATCGAAGAACTAGGTGATATATCGGAGGCTCAATCCCAACAGCTTGTGTCGTTCTGCAACCAAGTGTCTAAGCTGGAAGATCTATTCATGCCAGAGACAGCGGACGATAACGCACATGTACCAATGACCGCTGTCTATGTACGAGATTGGTTGAAATTCCAGTACCTTATCAACATACTGGAAAGCTCGTTGGCCGACATCAAGTTTCTCTGGCTAGAAGGCGAACTACGCCTAGAATTTTCGCCTGAGGAGGTGGTTGACCTTATCAAGGCTCTTTTCGCTGAGTCTGACTACAGGCGGAAGGCAATTGCAGAAATTCGACGAGTCTCGCGATGATAGGGACAGGTCACAAACGTATTATATATAGAAGTGGAGTATAATTTGATAGGCAATTAGACCATACCATCTACAGAGTTTAGAGCTAGGGCAAAGAACAGTAGTTATACATAGTTCTTGTAGGCTGACTGCGGGGGATCTCCGCGCACTGCGCAATTGGCCGCATCGGTCGCCGTATTTTTTCCGCAGTTTGCGCAGTTTTTGTCCACTGCGAACCGATTAGATTTTCGACAACGCCGCTTCAGACTTCCCAGTTCCATTTGTCCTTCTACGGTTCCAAAATGAGCGAAGGCTCAAATTCCACTTCGGCTGCGGCCTCTGCGCAGAGGCAGGTTCGTGTGCAGCTCACTAGCAAACAAGAAGACATTGCATTACCTGAGAATACCGGCCCGATTCTCGTTCCCACAGGTGAGATTATCTTACGCCAGGTCTCCCATTTTCCTAGCGTCTGTTTTCGTACAGAGATCTAATTATGTAGGTCTTCGAAGATATGCACTCTCCACGTTGGTGAACAATCTCCTTGGCAGTGACAAGCCAATTCCATTCGAGTTTTTGATCAACGGGTCTTTCCTCCGGACTTCGATCGATGAATACCTGACTGCCAATGGTATTTCTGCGGAAACTACTCTAGAAATCGAATATGTGAGAGCCTTGATTCCACCTCTGCATATTGCATCGTTTGAGCATGATGACTGGGTAAGCTCGGTTGATGTGCTTTCCGCGACCTCGCCCGCCGCTTCGTTGGCCTCTGCAACAATTGGCGCAGGCCAAGAGAAGATCCTCTCCGGCAGCTACGATGGCCTGCTTCGAATGTGGAATATGTCATCTCAAATAATTGCAACCTCGCCATCTGCCGCTGATGGAGGCCATACCGCATCTATTAAAGCCGCCAAATTCATTTCCCCAAATTCGATTGTATCCGCAGGTCTCGACCGAACAGTGCGTCTGTGGAAGTATTCTGAGGATGGCGATGGTTTCTCGGGCAAAATAGCACCCCAACTCGAGTTGTATGGGCACAAGGGCCCGATCAACTCATTGTCTGTCCATGCCCCTTCGAATCGCATCCTTTCTGCCTCGTCAGACCACAGCATAGGTTTCTGGTCAACCAAGAAATCGGATGCGCCAGCCGCTCCAGAGGATTTATTGCCATCTGCAGCCTTGAGGAGCTCCAAGAGGAGAAAGTTGAATTCGTCTGTGACCATCCCGCAACGAGGACCCTTGGCACTCTTGTCCTCTCACAGTGCGCCTGTGTCGGCTGCAATTTTCGACTCCAATGATTCCACTGTCGGTTATTCGGCTTCTTGGGACCATTCCCTGCGTACATGGGATCTTGTAACCGCTACACTTGTGGATACTCGGACAACAGCTCACTCGCTGCTTTCACTTGAGCACCTCCCTGAGCACCACCTCCTCGCCGCAGGTACCTCCGCTCGTCATATCACCCTGATCGATCCTCGGGCGTCCGCAACTACAATTGCAGCCATGACTCTGCGAGGCCACACAAACGCAGTTGTCTCGTTGGCTCGTGATCCTAACAGTTCCTATGGTCTCATTAGTGGAAGTCATGACGGTACATGCCGGATTTGGGACATCCGGGCCACGAAGACGGACAAGGATGGCGTGGTTGGGGAAAGTGTATATTCCATCTCCCGCAAGAGCCTGGAAGAACAAGGTAAATCTGAGGCCAAGCGTGTTGGCGGAGAGGGCGTCAAGGTTTTCGGTGTGGCCTGGGATGGAACAGTAGGCATTGTCAGTGCGGGTGAGGACAAGAGGATCCAGATCAATCGGGGCGAAGGCGTCTTATCTTCTGCGTAGAACAAGTTGCACATATGGGCCTGGCGTTTTACTATAGGATGAAAAGTTGAGACTGTTTAAATTTTTTTTCACTATCATACAAGTCGATGTCCTTTCAGATGCTTATAGATCCTGTGAGACATAGAGACGGGATACAGCAATCTTTTGGCTGCACATTCGTTCTCTGGATATAGTACATCTCATAAGTTTTTAGACTGTAGCTGATACTCAATTCAAGAAATTAAAATTAACGCCATGCCATGCCCCCCACATAAAGATCGCGAGGTCCAACAAGATACAAACAGCCGCAGCAGTGAGCTCAGAGCCTTCTCTCCATACGATTGAGCTTGACAGCAGTTTTGATCTATACAAACAAGCATTAGCTCATCTACTTCCTGAGAAACAGGAATATGAGAGTAAAACCAACCTGAGTTCTTGTTCTCTGTCCACGAACTGGGAGCCCCAATGCATGCCGTCTACCCCGGTACGTACCCGTCTCCTTCAAGCGCTTGATATCATCCAGGTATTGTCTGCGAAGGTCGTTCTCGATTTTCATCTCAGACAAAGCGGCCGTGATATCGAGGACCTGCTTGTTTGCCAGCTCGCCAACTTTGCATGTAGGGTGGATGTGAAAGCGGGCTAGAAGGCGTGACGAGCCAGTGTTCCCAATGCCGAAAAAGGACTGAAGCGATGTCTGGTGAAAGTGTTAGATTTGGTAAGGAAGCGATGGTGCATTGGTTGCTGGAGTGCTTGCCTTGACGAGGTTCCGCTCAGGGAAGTTCACGCCCAGGATGAAGACCTAAGTGACTATTAGCCGTGAGTCCTGAAGGATTTGATATACGACTAGAAACAGCATACCATCTTGCCTGACTAGATGAATCCGGTCTGCTCGAAATGGGACAAACTGCACTCCGCAATTGTTCCTCCGGCGCAATGATTGATCTCCGGAGCGCGGAAGAAATCACATCGCAACAACATTCCTCCGGGTTGATTGCGGTATATTTCAATACACCCATGGTAAGATTTAAGCTTCTGGGGCGAATTACACCATACATGGGAGGAAAATTACACAAATCTCAGCTCAAAATACAAACGTTGCCTGCATTTGGAATGATGGCATCTTGGCATCTCCGCAATTGAAAGCTGGCCCTTCAGTCCCGCGATTCTTCCTTCCACTCCAATTGTACTATCCAAGTCATTGTTGGAGATCTCCAGGAAACGGAGACAATCTAAGTCATCATGAACTTCAGAAACCTCTTCTTATCGTTTTTCTTCGTTCTGGCTGTTGGACTGGCTCTGGTCCACGCCGAGGAAGCTAATCAGCCCCGTGGCCCGAAGATCACTTCTAAGGTAAACACCCTATCCTTATCGCTCTTGATGAGTGTTGCTTCTCTTCGTGTATACTCATTGGTCATTCCGGATAGGTGTACTTCGACATTGAGCATGGCGATAAGCCTTTGGGCAGAGTGGTGCTCGGATTGTACGGCAAGACCGTTCCCAAGGTAACGATCCTTACTGCCTCCATACCTTGCCTAGGATTATGCTAATGAGATTTTTCCTGGACAGACCGCTGAGAACTTCCGGTATGGGCTATCTTGATATTAAATCTGGATATCTTGTGTGCTAACATAAAACGCTTAAGGGCTCTCGCCACCGGCGAGAAGGGCTTTGGTTACGAGGGCTCTACCTTCCACCGTGTCATTAAGGAGTTCATGATCCAGGGTGGTGACTTCACCCGCGGTGACGGTGAGATTCCCCTTGTCGAAACTGAATAGCATAGCACATGCTAACGTTCTGCATAAGGCACTGGCGGAAAGTCCATCTACGGCAACAAGTTTAAGGATGAGAACTTCAAGATTAGGCACACCAAGAAGGGACTCCTGAGCATGGCCAACGCCGGCAAGGATACCAACGGCTCTCAGTTCTTCATCACTACTGTTGCTACTCCGTATGTATCTCCTGCAGTGATATTACGCCCTCATTAAAAGACCCGCGGAGAAAAACCATGCTGACGAGCGGAACAGATGGCTCGATGGCCGCCACGTTGTTTTCGGCGAAGTCCTTGAGGGTTATGAGGTGGTTGAAGCCATCGAAAACGTCCCCAAGGCCCCTGGCGACAAGCCCGAACAGGTGGTCAAGATCGTCAAGAGTGGAGAGCTGGAGTCCGAGGACAAAGGTAGCCACAAGGAGCTGTAGACCTTCTCCGGGTCAATTTTTGGTTCTTGGAAGAGTTTGAAACGTGCTGATAGTTCTTGACCTCTAAAGAAAACATCGCTATCACTGAGGAGCCATCGGAAACTCCAGCACCATCTTCACCAGCACCTGCACCCGCATCAGCAAGCGCTTATGCTTCCTCTTATTCTTTTTCTCTATCTGGATTTGTAGTATTTCTTGTTGCCGTTGCCCTCATAGTGATCTCTGTTCGGAAGGTTTGCAAGGCACGGTGCCAGTGCAAAGCAAATGATGAGAAAAGCGTTGTTTGAAAATAAATGCAGGATGACGATTTCCAAGAGTTGCTGCGGAACAACTATCCAATTAGATTCAAGTTTTACCGATATAATTTGACCGGACTCCGTAGAGGGTAACTAAAACTAGTTTCCATCCATTACTCCCGTCACTGGCATATATCTCCCGTAGCGTCTAACGCGCTTTGTGTGTTCTCAGGCTTTTTTTTTTTTTCCATAGAAGCGGTCAGTAACAGCTCAGCAACTTGGTCGTGGCAAACCTTGTCAGGTGACTGGTTACTGCCAGGAGTGGCAAATGTCAAATTCTGCTTCTCCTGGGACATGTGGGAATCTGCAAATGCAGAGTGGCTATGTGGATATATGTATTTCTGTTTTATGAAGATCTTTTTCTTACACTTTTGTTCTGCTGGACGCTGTGTACTACTACTGTAGAGAATGGTATGTACAGTATATACCCGATTGGATTCTTTGATGTCTTTTGTTGTTTTATTTCCCTTTGTGTTAGTTGTGTATGTGTACGATCAGATATAACAACGAAAGGGAGGATAGAAAGACATGATCATCTTTGTTCAGATGATTCCTACTCCGTATACACTCATGGAAACCCTGTACTCTAAGTACTTTGTGCTATCATTGGCGATAATCATTACTCTGGAGTACATCTGGGTAAGTAATGTACCGATTCAATCAGTGGTTTTCATTGGAACCCCTCAGATTGGTCCGAGGGAGGTCACTAGTACTTGCTTCGGACCCCTCCAGTACAGTACCCAGTAATCAGTAGGTATCTAATGGATGGTACTCTGTAGTCTCATACCAAAATAATATTGAGATAGATGATGTGACAAGTTTTACTTAATTATTATCTAATTGATCTATGAAGGATTATTTATTCCAAAACTACAATTACCGAAGCATGTCACAAAGAAAGAAAGGAGATCCAAGATTTCAAGATCCAAGATACTTAAGGAGGTACAGAATACGGTCGGTTGGTTCCATTGAAAAAACTGCAAAACCCTTTTTCACAGTGACGGCAAAACATTGAAAAAAGAAGGCCAAAAAAAAAGAGACTCGGCCCAGCCCATAATTACCTATTGGCGCCGCAACTTACCCTTTTTTTTTTTTTCCTATTTGCCTTCGCTTCTGAAGTTTTTTACCTTTTTTTTTTTTTTTTTTCCTTTTTTCCTTCCCTGTCTTTGTAATCCACGCTGGATGTGCCAATAAAAAAAAACCCCCCAGGACAGATTTTTTTTTGGAACCGCATGCAAAATACCCAGAGCGAGTAGGTACCAGTACAGTCCGTGGTAAGTACACACAGGTTGGTGGTCACTGAGCGTGACTGCAAACACTAAATTAAGTCAGGCTTTGCCTCACTTCCTCTCCTTCTCCCACAAAACCTAATCTCTTCCTCTTCCTTTTTCAAACCTCCTCCCCTAATCCAAATTGGTTTTCCTTTTCTTTTCCACATATTATCAACTTCTCTTTTTTTTCTCTTTCTTCCCCTTTCTTTCTTTCTGCAATTTAATAGAGGGTTAGATCTGGGAGATCGCCTTGTTCAAGTTTCCAAATCCCAAATCGTTTTTTTACCTTTTTGTTGTGTTACTCATATTCGATCCATCTGGATCGCCACTCAATAGAGAGACACGAGGATACTTCTTTACCTTCTTCACGTTTCTCTCCTTCCCTCTAGTCCTGTACAAACACGAATCTCGGGCGCTCTTTTCCCATTTTTTGACGATAAGCAGATCGCGCTTCTGCTCCCCGGGTTTTTAAAAACAGCACTTCTTTTTTCTTTCCCTCTTTTGTACGTCCATATACCACCATCTCATTTCCGCGCCAGGAAACCCGCATTCCACCTGTGCAACTTGGAATACATTGCTTATCTGTCATCTCGGGATAGTTAGTGAAATACCGCAAAGATGGCCGACGGCTTGAAGATGGGAAACCTTTCCCTCAACGAATCTCAGCATGCGCCTGCCCCAAACTCTTCCGCTGGCCGCGCTGCCTACATCCCTCCCCATCTCCGTCAACGCCAAATGGGTGGTGCGAACATGGACGGAGCCCCCGCCGCTGCCCCCCCTGCCCCTGGTCCTAGCGGACCTGGCAACTCTTGGGGTTCAAGGTATGTATTTTTCCTGGATTCGCCTCGCAGCTTGCTCTCTGTCGTGTGCGGGTTACTGACCATATAATCTTACAGAGGCGCTCCTCGCGGTGGCAACTGGGCCAACGCTAGTGCTCCTGATTTCAGCCCTCGCGGTCCCAATACCAATGGTAACACCAGCTGGACTCCCACTGAAGGTTCTCGCCGATCATTTAATCCTGATGCTTACGGAAACCCAGGTCATGGAGGCTCTTATGGCGGAAGCGGAGGCAGTGCCAGAGGCTCCGGAGATGGCCAGTGGCGCGACGGCAAGCACATCCCTGGTCCCGCCAATGCTCGCGTGGAGCGTGAACTTTTCGGCCTGCCCAACGATCCCACTAAGCAGAACACTGGTATCAACTTTGCCAACTACGACGATATTCCCGTGGAAGCCTCCGGTCACGATGTTCCCGAGCCCGTCAACGCATTCACCAACCCTCCTCTGGACGACCACCTGATTGCCAACATCAAGCTCGCTTACTACCAGACTCCTACCCCGGTGCAGAAGTACTCTATTCCTATCGTGATGAATGGCCGTGACCTGATGGCTTGTGCCCAGACTGGTTCTGGAAAGACTGGTGGTTTCTTGTTCCCAATCTTGTCTCAGGCCTTCCAGAACGGTCCTTCCCCGACTCCTGCCCCGGCATCCGGCCAGTTCAGCTACGGCCGTCAGCGCAAGGCCTACCCAACGTCCCTTATCTTGGCCCCAACTCGTGAACTTGTCTCTCAGATCTTCGATGAAGCCCGAAAGTTCGCTTACCGCTCTTGGGTTCGTCCCTGCGTCGTCTACGGTGGTGCCGACATTGGATCTCAGCTCCGTCAGATTGAACGTGGTTGTGATCTTCTGGTTGCCACTCCTGGTCGTCTCGTGGATCTTATTGAGCGTGGCCGCATTTCTCTTGTCAACATCAAGTACTTGATCCTGGACGAAGCTGATCGCATGTTGGACATGGGTTTCGAGCCTCAGATCCGCCGCATTGTGGAGGGTGAAGATATGCCTCATGTTAATGACCGTCAAACCCTGATGTTTTCTGCCACCTTCCCTCGCGACATCCAGATGCTGGCTCGCGACTTCCTGAAGGATTATGTTTTCCTTTCTGTTGGCCGTGTCGGCTCAACCTCCGAGAACATCACCCAGAAAGTTGAATACGTCGAAGATCACGATAAGCGTTCGGTTCTCTTGGATATTCTCCACACTCATGGCACTAGCGGTCTCACCCTCATTTTCGTTGAGACCAAGCGCATGGCCGACTCTCTGTCGGACTTCCTGCTCAACCAGCGCTTCCCTGCCACCGCCATTCACGGTGACCGTACTCAGCGTGAGCGTGAGCGTGCTTTGGAGATGTTCCGTTCCGGCCGTTGCCCTATCTTGGTTGCTACTGCTGTCGCTGCTCGTGGTCTTGATATCCCCAACGTTACTCACGTTATCAACTACGACCTGCCTACTGATATTGACGACTATGTTCACCGTATCGGTCGTACCGGTCGTGCGGGTAACACCGGTATTGCAACCGCCTTCTTCAACCGTGGCAACCGCGGCGTCGTTCGCGATCTGATTGACCTTCTCAAGGAGGCTCACCAGGAGGTTCCGTCGTTCTTGGAGAGCATTGCTCGTGAGGGCAGTGGATATGGTGGCCGTGGCGGCCGTGGAGGTCGTGGCCGTGGAGCCAACGCCACCCGTGATATGCGTCGGATGGGCGGCGGTATGGGCGGTCCTCCTTCCTTCGGTGGCAGCAGCTACGGCGGTCCCAGTGCTGGCTATGGTGGTAGCTACGGTGGTGGCGCTCCCTCTTACGGTGGTGGTGCTGGTGGCGGCGGCAGCGGCGGCAGCTACGGCTACGGCGGCAGCGGCGGCGGCGGCTATGGAAACCCCTCGGGCCCTACTGGACCTTCCTCCTGGTGGTAAATCCGGGGTTATGCCCGTGGTCTCTGACGAGGCCGTCAGGTCTGATTGGCTCCATTTATCTTCATTTGCCTTTCATTTGACGGATACGATCAGAACGAGCCCTGAGTTGTTTTTTTCTTTTTTGTTTTATCTCAGGAACGGCTTTGTCATGACTGCCACGACTTCCTTTTAGATTTTTTTTTTTTTTTTTTGTTCTTCATCGTCTTGTTTCATTTTATCACGTCGAGTTATCGGTGTTCTCTATTTTTGAGCATTTCGCAGATTTCGTTTGCTTGTTCTCGATTTTAGACATGGTCTTATGATGCGGTCCGATCTCACCATGTTACTGCTCCTGGTTATACCCTTTATGTAATCGAGAGCATCTTGGTCGGCATTGCATGAACATAGATTGCGTTGTCTTTCTCCTGCGACCGCTTCTGTCAGATACCCTTTTTGTTCTCAGGCGGCCATATGGAGATCCGCTTGAACTATGTGCGCCGAGCAGGAGTGCCGGCTTTTCGGTTTCAGAAAAGTGCTTTTTATGGTTTCATCTGCTTGGTGCTGTGGCAACGCATCGACCGTGTCTTGCAAGATAGATCTCTTCCTTTTTCGGTATCTCATGGCGGGTTTTTTCCATTTCCTTATTTATTTGTCTGAACCTCCGACATTCAAGTTTCACTTCTTATGCATGCGTCGCTACTGTTTCTGCCTCGTGCTGCTCTCTTCCCCATGCGTTGCTCCATGGCGGCCTCGGCTATGGCTGGAGTCCTTCTTGCTACGCATCGCTCCTGTGTGGAAGAGACGGTGCGAGGGCTACCAAACAGCGCTTTGCGACCACGGGCCTTCTTCGGCGGGTATTTGTTTCTTTTTTGACACTGCCTCTGGGACAGGCGGTGCATGATAACGTGATGCGAGTGATAGAGAAGGGATTTTTCTTTGCATTGTGTATGGCGTTGGGCTTGAGCTGCTGTGTCCACAAAAAGATTATGTTCTCTGCACTGGGGACCGTGGAGGATGGAATGCTGCATTTGCTGGCACTTATGATTTTTTGTGGTTATGCTAGACATCATTGTCTCATGTCAGTAGCGATATAGGCTCGACGAGATATGCCGAAGACGGCCCTGTTCACGGGGGCTTTATCTGTCTCGCGCGAAGGGGAGCTATTTATCAGGACAAAAAGTTTGATTCTAGTCTTATCTACTTGGTGTAGTACATCCTGCGATGCCCGTGGTCCATGAATTCCTCGTAGCAGTTAGAAGTGAAAGCCCTACAGACACACTGGGTTAATAAGGTCACAATCAATCATTGAGCGTAGGGAGAAGTTTCTATAATAAAGAGCACTTATGGGTTATGGAAATTATGCTCTTATGCTGAGCTTCTTAATTATCTTGTATATTATCTTGATTTGTTCGGTTTATTTAAGCTGTACTGTACTTACTCCGCGCCCGCATTGATTTCCTATGAAACTTTCAATCATTCACCAAACATAGGACTTCCTTTCCCGGAACAGGACTAAATCGGGGCCGCTTTTGACTACATGATTTTGAACCGGGAGTGTGGGGTAAAGCGGAAGTGCGTGTGCTGAGCGAGTGTGCCGGACTTGGCTCCGGAGTAAGCAGCCTGCCAAGCTAAGGTAAGTGTAACATCTTCAAATGGCGGCCTCTTCTTTCTAGGGTTATCTTTCATAGAAAGTGTATGAAATGTGCATTGGATGTATGGATAAACACGAAAGTAATGCAACCGGACTCAGATCAGGATTGAGCAGGGTTTAGCTCAGTGCAACATATTCTGGCTAAAAGGAATAGGAAAGGAATGAAGAAAGAGTCAAGAAGCACACGCACACGGTGGCTCTCGAATCCCCGAGAGGATAACCTGAGCAATGATCTCACTTCGAGTCTCGTTATTCCTGCATTAGAACTGCCCCTTCAGACCCTCAAAATCTTTGTCCTGTTGCAAAGTGTCTACCTCAGCCTCAAACACTTCGAGAATCCGAGAGTTCCTCTGTTTAACATGACTGATCATAACGTCAATGGTTTTTGTCGCATACTCTGCAAGGCGCTTCTCATCAGCTTTTGCTGCTTCTTCGGCGATCTCATGTAGTCGCTTAAACCAATACAGCCACCTCCAGGGACCAAATCCACCTGGTGCTCGCCGACCTAGCTCTGACCTGACAAATCTTCCGCCACCTGTCCCGTAAAGACTGCTAGAGCAATCATTCCACGATACATCTGTTAAAAGTATGATGTTATGCCCAGCCTCTCGGAGCCAGGCACACGCAGAGGGGAGTAACGCGGCAATAGTAAGCGTATGCACTGTTCGGTGATGATCTTCGTTATCGGGGTCGTCCAGGCTGCCCAGACTCTGCATGGACTCAAAAGTGTCACGGAAAAGGATCAAAGCAATCTGGCAAAGCCGATCTTTCACCATGCGCGTCGAGGCAAGCTTAGCCAGGAAGGATGAAACATTGAGGCGCTGGTTGGCGTCCATTTGCGCGCACTCGTTTAGCCAGAAATCGGTCATGTCCGTAGCGAGAAACGGTAGGTCGTTCCAGACAGTACCGTCGGGCGTTCTAGCAAGATCAACGCCACAGCCGCCCGGCGCTGGCCTGGTGAGAGGACCTCGCCCCCGAAGACGGAGGATGTTGAGGACCAACTTATCTTGCTCGGGGCTCTCATGGGAGAGATGCTTGCTCCAATGGTGATAGGTATACCACAGGTCATGCAGATGCTGCTCGCAGTAATCAATGGAATTCTGAGACCGGCAATATCTTTGACCAATAATCCATGCTCGGTTATATGCTACTCCTCGGAGGATGTCGAATTGTCCTTGCCGAGCAGTCTCCTCTATATCCACCCGCAGGTTTGAAGTGATGTCAAAGAAGCTAGGACTATCCCTCGGTGGGGTGTCTGGTGAATCTCCTAGTAAGTCGTGCATAATCTGGTAGGAAACACCTGGAAATGAGATGAGTGTGGAATTAACTTGGAGAAATGAAGAAATGATTTTATTCTCGAAGGAAATAAGCATGGAAGGACGACACCAACATTCGGGCAGGCAGCAACAGCTGGAAACAAAGAGATCCCCACCTCTACGGAGTCATCTTCTGCTACCTATTGGTGCCACATCGCTTGCTAAGGGTGCAAAGAACCCACTAGGATCAGCAGAAGACGTGTTTTGGTTTAACGGGATATCCGATGTTAAAAACCCTAGGTCCTGGAAGACTATTGGCCACTATCTAATACCCCTGCAATCGCATCCAAACATTGTCCCTCACTGGCGGTATTGCTATACATGGAGGTGGATTAATGCTACCATAGCATACTAGTATAGCAGGCCGAATATATACTGGAATGCAGCAAGCTTGTAGGTATTCCTCTTCAAATTGCACAGCACCTCTCCCGGCTGGTCCACAATCAACGAAGTAGCAACAGCAGAAGTACCTGTCTCAGTGATTTATCTTTGACAGATGCACTCTCTACTGTAAGAGTCATAATAGCACCCTTTGTTCTCAATTGCATCGGTACACTATGTCTCAAAGTTAGCATACTCAGCTAGAGTAACAGGGTCCAGAGAAACTTACCACTTTAAAATGACATTTACAAATACCTTTCAGGCCATCTTGCGTATCATAATGACATTGATTGGTGGCAGGATCACATGTCTATTTTGAAAAAGAAAGATCAACACAGAGGTGATCTTTTCGGTAGAAGATAAACTGGAGGATGTCGCGGGATCGGGTCATCCTCTCTGAGTGCTGGCACGAAGGGCAACTGAGGAGTCTGTTTGGTTGATGCCTGATTTTGGCTTCTGGTCTTGGGGTCATATCGATAGTCGGATTGGACCTTATGATGAAGTAGTCAAACACATCCGAGAACAGGAGCCCCCCTGGGATAAGAAAAGAGAACAAGCTAGTCTGGCGTGGGAAGCTTAGTTTTGCCCCGAAGCTGCGACGGACACTGCTTGAGATTGCACGGAATCACGCCTGGGGAGATGTGAAGGAGGTGGAGTGGAAGGACAAAGCGAACTTTATAAGTATGGAAAACCACTGTAACTACCGCTTCATCGCGCATGTGGAAGGTATGTTATCTTCTCTCGAGATACTAAAGATGCTATAGACATATTAGCTAAGATTCCCCAGGCCGCTCCTATTCTGCATCCCTCAAGTATCGTCAGGCCTGTCGATCTGTAATTGTGATTCACAAACTACAGTTTATTCAACATCACCACTATCTTCTGGTTTCCTCCGGTCCACACCAGAACTTTGTCCAGGTCGAGAGGGACTGGTCGGATCTACCACACAAGATATCAGAGCTTCTCGATGATCCTATCCAAGCCCAGGCGATCGCGGATAATAATGTAAAGCTATTTCGCGAGCGGTATCTGACTCCAGCTGCCGATACCTGTTACTGGCGCGCGTTGCTGCAAGCGTGGACTACCGCATCCCCTGAAGTCACTGAAACCGTAGTGGACCCGACCAGTGGTAGTGGCCACCGGAGAGGGATTCGATATGAGTCATTTACCTTGTTGGATCCCAGCAGTATGATGCGCTTTGGGTCTTGAGATTCGAAACCAATGTATGTATATAGATCGGCAAGCTTTAGATTGTCCCCGATTTTGAGGGCCGTTGCAGTCACGTGAGCGTCGCATGGGCAAAGCAAAGGGCTTCCTCCGTACTGTTTAGAGGATGAGTGCGTGCGCGGTGAGCCATCCGTCCAACGAACTCACGTGTCGCCCTCATAAAAGCGGCGGCACTTGCAGAAAAACAATTCTGGGATATACTAGGACTAGTACTGAGTAGTTATCGTTACTTTAGTGACGGGAACCCCGTGCAAAGGGCTGGATCCCCCGAATGGGACACCAAAAAGAAACTCACCTCATCCTTCGTCATTTTACACAACCTTCCTTTCTCCCCTTTCCTCATCAAACACTGTCCCTCCTCCTAAGTAGCGCCCATTTCCATTTTCCTTATTTATGATACTTAGTTTTCTCCCCTGCCATCTATACTTCGTTTTCTCTTAACCCAAGTGCTATACGCGCTTCCGGCTACCGGTCCCTCTGCGGCTGTCAGTGACTGACCCCGTTCAAGGGCGCTTCCGGAAGGCGACCACGTCGAGGATCTGGGGGTTCAGAAAAAACAATTGACTTCGGATACAAGAGGCCTTTATAAATCCAGGAACTAAACATGGCCGAAGTCGAAAGCACCGTCGCAGACGACTCGTTCGTACAGTCCGAGCCTCAAGATGAGCAGCAAACGCATAACATGACGGTCGGCACGCGACGCCAGGCAAACGGTACGATCGGCTCCGTTTACTCGGGGAACAAAATCAGGCATCTCAAGAAGGAGGATGGAATTCCGTTATGGCGCAAGGACATCCAGCATCAGTTTCTCAAACTGGTCTTCGAGGACAAGACACCCGTCTTCACTCGATGGCCAGACGGAGAGAAGGGCCTGGACTTCGCAGATATCTATATCGATGCTATGGCAAAGAGTAGCAAAACGAGTAAGATTCTGAAGGATAAACTTCAAAACGACAAACAGGCAGCCATCAGCATGGCGATGGTCTGTCTGCTGGTGAACTTCGGACGCATGAATACCACACTCAACTGTATGTTTCTTTCTTCGACTTTTCTCCTCGGCCATGTGGGCGTGCCAGTGCGCCCGATGAGTTGTTGAAGTGCGATTACTGATTTGTGGCCTTCCTAGTTTTCCCTGAAATGCGAGCTCAACTACGGACTTATCACTCTATCCCTTCCTTGCAAGCGCACCAGGACCCCAATGCCTACAAACAGCTACAAGATGCCCCGCGTCTGAAGTCCATCCTTAAGGGAGCATCAGAGGATTGTGATCAGCCGAACACGCTCGATAAGATCCGACGTCAGCAAATTCCTCGGACAAACCCGGTCCATCTGATCTTCGTTTTGGCCCAGTACGCTCCCAAGGTATCTGAAATGCACTTCTTCCCTCCCCGCGACTTTTTCGATCTGGTTATGAGATCTACACTTAGCAGTAAGAGTCGTGCGAGGGCCTTCTTGTGGTTGATGTGGTGGTATTTGGAGAGTGACTTCTCGCAGGAGGCAGCCCTGAACAACCCATTCGGCCCCGGCCTGGATGGCGAAGGAACTGGGGGTCTGCCAATCAAAGTACCAAACTTTGAGAGCCTCACTGAAGAACAGGCAAACGAGGAAAATGTTGACACGCAGTCCGAAATCGAATATGGAGAAGCCAAACGCTTGGAGCGCAAACGTTGGTGTTCCGACATGATTGTTCTTTTTTTGTATCGGCTAACCTAGTGTAGGGATCTTGGAAGAAGAAGAGCCAATTCCTAGGATAACTAAACGCTCTAAGAAAGGTATTTCTTTATCACCTTTCCCACCCCATATTATACCGATTCACACTAACCGTACCCCATAGGCCTCCTGGAACCTGGATATGACGATGACCAGGTTTCAGGCGATCTTTCTGGCCGAGGGGACGGCCTTGGAGGTCGTGGATCTGCTATGTCGACTCCATTGCACCCCTCGTCCAAACGTTATCCGGATGATGAAGATGACTATCAAACCCCGGGACAATCTGCCCGTTCCCGATATAAGCGACCCAAGCGGGATTCATCTCTTAATCGTTCTGTTGGTCAGCAGCGCCTCATCCTGAAGACAAAAATGGAGCATACCCCTGACGCTTCTTCTCCGGCCCCTCCAGGTTCTGGTCACCCGATTCTCAATAGGTTTGTTACGGAGCCTTCTTTGCCCCAGCAGACCTCTTCCCGCCGTCCCCGCCCGCTTACCCAGCATCAGTTGGCTGTGGAGCAAAACAGGCGGCAGCGTATTGAATACATCCTCGCCAAGAGGAAGAACGAGGCCTATCGACTCCTCCGCACGAAACGTGAAACCGAAATTCCGTTCCACCGTTATAATCGCTTGCTACAGAACGTCCCCGATAACTACGACACGGAAGATGAGGAGAACTCGTGGGGCAAGGGGGGCTTGATTCCCAACCCTGAAGAGGAGGAAGATTACGGCGAGTGTGCCAGCTTCTACTTGTCCGTCATTCGTAAAGCTGCAAGGCGACTAGACAGGTGGGACTATGAAGATGCTAATGGCCCGAGGAGAGACCGAAAAAAGGAGAGGGAAGAGCGGCAGAAGGCGAGACAAAGTGGATTTGGTCTTGACACGGACCTGACAGGGCGTGTGCCAACCTCTGCACGTAGCAGAGCTCGAGCGGCGCGTAATGCCAAGCGCAAGCTCGCCGGTGCGACTACGGATGCTTCTACGGCGGCGACTCCCAAGAATAAGAGCACGTCGGTCTCTCGTTCTAAGAGCAACCGGAGCCGTGCAAGCCGCCCGACCGGGGATGCACTGACAGCTCCTGATGGTGCGACTAAGGATAGTCTCGAGGCACCATCTCAAGACCAGGAACTGTCATCGATGCCCGGGGATATGGACGGTGAAGCAGAAGAAGGCCTCGATGACATCGATCGCGAACTTCTTGGCGAAGGAAGCGGCGAGGAGGATGAGGGTGTTTCTCGAGGGCCTCTACCTTCTCGTCCTGTGGAGCCAGGCTACGAAGATAGTTTCATCGGCGAAGGGGGAGATGACGATGCAGACGCGTTGTCTTCGGATGAGAATGATGATGAAGCAGATGACGATGATCTTGAGGAAGGTGATGGCGACGAAAACTCGTCCACATTCGAAGGCGGCAATGGATATGCCGCCAGTGAGGCTTCATCAGTTGCTGGCGATGCCGTTGGTAAAAGCTTGGAAATACGAACGGGAGAGAAAGACGAAGAAAACCTAGGCGATCTTTGAAAATGAGGCTCCTATATTCTCCAGTGTGAAGGAGATGACCGATGAGCCAGTATTTTCCTTGTTATCTGTACCCGATCCTTACCTCTTATTCTATATTTTTTCTCCAATGTTGTTTTCCCTTTTTTCTCTCTCTCTCTCTCTCTTTTACTCCCTTGATTCTGTACCGCCATCTCACCTTCGGCTTATTCTTGACTTCTTCGATCTTGTCTTACTTTATTTCTTTTCTACATGGAATATTCATGTTACTATGGTATCACAGCAAACGGATCCTCTCCATAGTTTGAGAGTATAATAGAATAGATTCAAAATATCTAATCAAGATATACAAGCGAATGATCGTATCCATGCAGAAGTACCGACTACTACTTCGTCCACACCTCATTCGAGGATTCGAGGGTCATGGGAGGTTGACAGCCAATGATACGTTGTCAATGCATCGAGGCAGCCCTAGGTTGAGCTAGTGCAGAGGTGGCGATATTCCATGCGCTGATGCTTTGGGCATTTACTGGTTCTCCCCAATCGCACGGTGACTCATAGGTCGGGATCCGTCATGAGCATGAAGTGCATACATAGCCTTGAGAAAGCGACCTCGCGATAATTCTCCGGGGGGGTGGGTGTATGAGTACTATCTACTACACCCGTACAGTAGTTGCAGGAGGCGCGCTGCAAATCGAGCGGAGAGACGAGCGGAGAGGTACAGAAAGCCTATCAGAGTTCAAGTACGGCCTATTTCGCACCAGTCATTGGTCATTACCGGAGGATTCTGTTGGGAGCAATGAAATTGACGTCCACTGAATCTGCAGGTGCTTGTTTGAGGGTTGAGATTTGCATGTGAATTTGACACCTGACTGCTCACTCGATTTGGTTTCCTCCCAACTTTTGAGTCGAAGAGTCGCCCCCTAGCCGCAAAACACGCCGCATTCTTAACCGCAAACACCTCTTCGCGCATATTTAACTATCTTGGGTCATTAGTCTAGAGTCCATATACTTCATTGCCCTTGATTCAATCATTTCCCCGGCGATAGTTGCCCTCCCTGGCCCCTGCCGAGCCGATCTCGCGCCTCTACGGAGCATCTGCACCGCGTACTCCACTCCGGCGCCTCAACGAACCAATTTCCTCCTTCAACCTCGTAGGATTTGAGCGTCCGTGCAGCAGCCCAGGTGAGAGAGCTTGTGGCACTCACACACCTGCGTGTCTCATTCAAGCATCATCCTGAGCAACCCCTCTTTTCTTTACGAGACATTGCTTGCAGGATCGTCGCTGTTGCAACAGCAGCCGGAGGAGCTAGTTGTGTCGCCCTCGGTCACCCAGAACAGAGCCTGTGCTTCCCACCTCCTGATCCCGCCTGTCTGGAATTTATACAGTAACATTTCCCTCATTTTCGAAGTTCCACTACAGCTTCCCGCCCGTCATGTCTGACAACCCAACGATTCTCCGACCCCGTCCACGACGGGTGTTTGACCTCACTCCAGCCTCGACCGAATCGTCCGAACCCTCGAGCCCTGCGGAACCCGCCAACCCAGACCTTTTGAACCCTAGGGATGCCGGGTCTACCAGTGTCAGTCGGACTGGTTCGATCATGAATTTGACGACCCCAACACTCTATGGGATCTATTCACCGACGGCATTCGAGGGTTCCCGGGACGAATCCAGTCCTTGGGGAACGGAAGCTCAAACGCCAGCCGTCGAAAAGCCAAACCCCCTCACAGTACCGGAAAAGTCAGATCGGTTTACCTTGAAGAGGACACGGTCACGGCTCAGTCACGGGCTATTCCTTGGTGTGATACTGCCCCAGGCACTCAAGGCCGCTCTCTTGTTCAGCTTTGGCATTGTCTATGGGATCATTACGATTCATTTACATGAGAATCATTGGATTACACCGGTGAAGCTGGAAAACACCCACTACTACGGGTCATGGGAATACCTGGGATTCTGGGGTGTGGCCGGAGTCGTTTTGGGGAATGTGCTTCCGGGCCTGGATCTTTTCTCGGAAGATGTTACGGTTGACAACTCCAAGCAGTCGAGTCGGTCGAGCAGCGACGAAGAGAATGAGGAGCGTACTCTCTCGTGGGTTGCAGCGGTCCGAAGCGTTGGTGCCTTTGTTGGGGTAGCATTTGCTATGGTAAGTTATCCAAATTGCAAACTTTTTCCATCGGCCATATTGATTGACTGACATTTCTGTATAGCGGAGGACCCCTTGGCAATCGACTACTCAAGCATCGGCGACGCTCGCTCTCGCAAACCCCGTGCTGTGGTATCTCATCGATCGCACCAAGACAGGCTTCTTCATGTCTTCCATCGTGGGAATAGGGGGAATGGGAATCGTATTGGCACTCAGACCGGATTTAGTACCGTCTTCTACAGGGGCATCCGCCACTGCGATTCCCGCTCTGAACAGCACTTTACGGGATCTCGGATTGGGAGCGGGTCTCACGCAAGAAAGCCTTGCCGTCAGGACTTGGGTTGCCAGTGTTTTGTTCAGTGCGTGCGTTTGCTTCGGGAACATTGGTCGCCAACTAGCGATTTTTGCGCGCAGGGAATCCCTCCAAGCATAAGTCACATATGGCAGCAGCATTGAACTTTTAATCCTCTTTATTTCCCAATCCCACTCATTTGAGCGTCTTTGCAGGTTTCCCTCCTTGTGCCCTCTTCGTTTTAAGGCTTGCATTTATTTGTCATATTACTCAGACTTGGTAGTAAACGGTGCTTGAATAGAGCCTCAGCCAGTGTGTTCATTGACAGAACATCACGGCTTTTTTAGACTATTACAATGTTGGCACGCCCATTCGTAGAGCTTCTCAACTACACCGTAAGCTTACTACCAGTACTACAATGACCATAGCATATCGACTCCCGCGCAAGGCTAGATAAGAATCAAAGATAGAATGAAAGAAGGCGTGTAGAATCAATCATTGCAATCCCTTCCACTGAACTCGAAGAGTTCTAGAAGACACTGCACCCAAGATCGACACCCTGCGGTTTGCAGTTCGTCTCCATTCTTTATGACGATTTCCGTACTTCATAGGCATCACCCCAATAGGGGATATCCTCGTAGGAACGCTTTTTGAAGAATGTTAATTTTGCGTTGTTCATGTAGAAGAAAAAAGAAAAGGAGAGGAAATTGCGGCCGAGTCGAGCGCAGTTTTGTACCTCGTCCGTTGTGGTGGCCCGTGCGGTTTGTCATGTGATCTACGCGGATTTTTCATTTTTATGTCGCGTTTAGATGAGTCAGCTGGGACTGCTTCCCACTGCATACTATACATAGTACTGATTTGGTGCTAGTTCGCTGGGAGCTGCCCCGCTATGATGTGATTCCAAGACTAAACCATATCGAGCATGTTAGTCACAATCACAAGCTCCTGGGCTGCCTCAGGCATGCTGATCCGAAAGCGGCGAATGAACCCCGCGGAAAAGTCCAATTGGAAGGTATACGAAAGAAAGATCGATCAGTCCATTAACCACGAGTCGATCAGAGCTTGATTGAATCAGTCCGAGTTCCAGGAGGCAATTGTCAACCCTGTTTTTACCCTCCCACCAGAAACAGGCCTGCTTTTCAGGTAAATAAGCCTCTTCCCTTCAGTATTTGTTGTTGTTCTTGTTCCCCGGTTGTGCCCCTCCGACTGCTTGCGGTGTTGATTGTGGAGGGGTCGTGGGGATAAATTTTTCCCCTCCTTCAATTTTCTTTCGCCTTTTTTTCTTGACTTTCTAGGGCCTGACCTTGACGTGATCTAGTGTTTCTCGCGATCGCGGTCTCAAAATGTCTCAACAAAAGTCAGGTAAGACGACTGAGTCCATCTTTGCAGTCTGGAACTGCATTGCTTGCCCACGAGTGTGGATGTGGTCCGAATGCTTCCCCACAGTTGACCTTTCTGTTACTCTTATGAATATTGAGGCGCCCACTGGTTGACACGCGAGATTTACCACAGCTATCCTCTCCGTCTATGACAAGACCGGCCTGCTCGACCTGGCCAAGGGTCTGGCCAGGAATAATGTCCGTCTTCTCGCCTCCGGTGGCACTGCCAGGATGATCCGAGAGGCAGGATTCCCTGTCGAGTGAGTTCTTCCCTCTCAACACACATACCTATCAGATAAGATGACAATTGGTGGAGCTAATATATCGAACCTACAGGGACGTCTCTGCTATCACTCATGCTCCCGAAATGCTTGGTGGCCGTGTCAAGACCCTCCACCCCGCGGTCCACGGTGGTATCCTCGCTCGTGACATTGAGTCCGATGAGAAGGATCTGGCCGACCAGAAGATCTCCAAGGTCGACTTCGTTGTCTGCAACCTTTACCCCTTCAAGGAGACCGTCAACAAGGTCAATGTCACTATCGAAGAGGCCGTCGAAGAAATCGATATCGGCGGTGTGACCCTCCTCCGTGCCGCGGCCAAGAACCACGCTCGCGTCACCATCCTCTCCGACCCTCAGGACTACCCCGAGTTCCTCAAGGAGCTCGACGCCGGCGAGATTACCGAGTCTAGCCGGAAGTTGTATGCCCTCAAGGCCTTCGAGCACACCGCAGACTACGACAGTGCCATCTCTGGTTTCTTCCGTAAGCAATATGCGGGCAACGGCGAGCAGCACATTGCTCTGCGTTACGGTACCAACCCCCACCAGAAGCCTGCTTCGGCATACATGCTCGAGGGCAAGCTTCCATTCAAGGCCCTGAACGGCTCTCCCGGTTACGTCAACCTGCTTGACGCTCTCAATGCCTGGGCTTTGGTCAAGGAGCTCAAGCAGGCGCTGGGCTACCCCGCTGCGGCTAGCTTCAAGCACGTTTCCCCCGCCGGTGCTGCCGTCGGCGTGCCCCTGAATGAGAAGGAGCGTAAGGTCTACATGGTTGATGATATCGATGGTATCGAGACTTCTGGTCTGGCTCAAGCTTATGCTCGCGCCCGTGGTGCCGACCGCATGTCCAGCTTCGGTGACATCCTCGCCCTCAGTGACGTCGTTGATGTGCCCACCGCCAAGATCATCTCTCGTGAGGTTTCGGACGGTGTCATCGCCGCAGGCTACTCTCCTGAGGCTCTTGAGATCCTCTCTAAGAAGAAGGGCGGCAAGTACCTCGTGCTCCAGATGGACGAGTCCTACGTTCCCCCGGCCGAGGAGACCCGTACTTTGTACGGTGTTCAGCTCTCGCAGCACCGCAATGACGTGGTGATCTCTCCCAAGAAGACCTTCAGCACCATCGTGACCCCTAAGGACCTCGAGAGCCTTCCTGACTCTGCTTTGCGGGATCTCACTGTGGCTACCATCGCTCTGAAGTACACTCAGTCCAACTCTGTCTGTTATGCTCTCAACGGCCAGGTCGTCGGTCTGGGTGCTGGCCAGCAGAGCCGTATTCACTGCACTCGTTTGGCGGGTGACAAGGCTGACAACTGGTGGATGCGCTTCCACGACCGTGTCCTCAACATCCAGTGGAAGAAGGGAACTAAGCGTGCCGACAAGGCCAACGCCATTGACTTGCTCTGCTCAGGTAACACCCCTCGCAATGAGGCAGAGAAGGCCGAATACGAGCGTGTCTTCGAAGAAGTACCTACTCCTTTCACTCAGGAGGAGCGGGAATCCTGGCTCGAGAAGCTGAGCGAGGTTGCCGTCTCGTCCGATGCTTTCGTAAGTCGTCTCCTTGCGTTTCATTTGATTAGTGAAATCTCCCGTACTGACCAGCTTGATACTAGTTCCCCTTCATCGACAACGTCTTCCGTGCAGCCCGCTCCGGCGTTAAGTACATCGCTGCTCCCAGCGGTAGCCAGAACGATGGCCCTGTCTTCGCGACTGCAGAGAAGCTTGGCATTGTTTTCGTCGAGCAGGGTACTCGTCTCTTCCACCACTAGGTCATTTCCATTATATGATATGAGATAGTCCAAATGTTATGCTAGTATTCATGTGACGAAGTTCGTCTATTTTTTCTATGACTTGATACCGAGCACTTCTGAGTGCAATAAAAGAACTGTTTATTCATGCAACGCGGTTTCTTGCGCAGGCTGATGGTCGAGGGGCTACCGAGGGTCTACGACGAGATAGGCCTTCATTAGTTTATATAAACCGATGGATGCTCGATCTCCTGGGTAGTATGTCCAAGTACGGAGTACGGCGTGTGCATCGAGTGGGTCAATATGTCAAATACAAGTTTGTATTAAAAATTAATAGAGCAAAAAGTTGAATGCAACTGCTCCCACGCGGATTTGAACCGCGGACCTCATGATTACTAGTCATGCGCTCTACCAACTGAGCCATAGGAGCTGATTGTTGAGGTCAGTATTTCTTAATTAAATATATATTCCAAGGCCTATTGGTGTTGACGCTTGCGTATCCTTTTGAGCTGGGTATGGATATACGATAGAAATGCGAGGTACAGATGATCTACTAATATAATCTTCTACTGTATTTGGTGCCTGATTGCTATCATTAACAGTACATGTACAGATTCCCGTGCTCTCAAGTCCATTCTGTGGTGTATAATGACCCATGGAACGGTCCAGCCTTGGACTGATATATATACATATGGACGGCAGTCACCGAACCGTGGATCGCCAGTGGTTTGCGGTTGACCAAAGACCGCGGAAGCTGGAAGCATTACCCAAACTCTCGCCAGAAGCTACATATATACATACAAGTAGCCGAATAATGCCACCTGAACGAAGCCAGGCCACCACCAGCCAGTGTGATACCCATCAATGGTATCCATCAATGAGACCTGCCAATCTCACACGCACACCACCGCGAAACCCAGCATAATGTTACCCTATCAATCGATACAGCTCCACCAATTGATATACACCTTTAAAAGATCTGGCGCAAACAGAAAACCGGGAATCCGAGTCGCAGGCGGCGGGAAGCAGACAGATAAGTTCCAGGCTATTCTAGGGCCATAACTACATCCGCTTGGAGATGCACCAGAAAACCTCCCAACTTCTCCAATAAGAACTCGTATATGCCCTAGTAATACATGTGTCTTAGAGGACATTCCCGTGATGTCGCTATGTATGTACGTTATACTCCGTCTTGTTATATATTTTAATAAAATCATGATTCCAACAATCCAGCTCCTATGGCTCAGTTGGTAGAGCGCATGACTAGTAATCATGAGGTCCGCGGTTCAAATCCGCGTGGGAGCAGTTGCATTCAAATTTTTGCCCTAAACCGTATTATTTTTGGTACTCAATATCATAATTATTATCGCTATCCCGCAGGACCACAAGGCATGTAAAACCCAAAGATCTCACGGTCAGATGGTGCAGCTCCTTAGTCCCCTTCCTGCACAGTACATTCACAAAAGCCAAAGCCGATGGCTATATTCTCACCTCAGCCATAGTCATAGACCCCAAACGAAATACCCCGGATAGTTGTTCGTAGTTAATTGATTGGGACTAGGAATCCAATCCTGCATCTGGGGCAGGACTCTATCCCATGTTCCCAACCTAGGTGAGCAAAATCACTCTACAAGGTTACGTCGCTTCCTAGTTGTCTTTAGATAGCTCAGAAGCGGCTCAGAAGCCCCAGACGCTATTCCCCCCGCGTGGAGGAAGAGCATCCTTTTACTCGTCCCCGCGCTCTCATCATCCCTGGACCCGCCCTCATGGTCTGCGGATCATCCCGGATGAAAGTTGTGACATGGACGGGCCTTAACGTCGGAATGCAACATTACCTGCGCGAACTAGCACACTAGACTACTGCAAATGCACCTGAAGACTAGGACTAGAACAATCTAGACTTGAGTCGCAGTCTGTACGAGCGCTCCTGGTCGTCAATTAATCTGTGGCAGGCCGCCTTGAATGAGGGGTAAGTGGACAGTATAGGGAAGCCCCCAGTTACATAGACTGGCACGTTGGACTCCCGCGACTGTTCCTTAGATTCATGTATACAATCGCGTATACAACCAATAATCGGAATGGGGAGTTACAGAAGCATTCTTCATTCTCGGCTCATGGATCTCGATCTGTATGGGCCAGCCTCCCCGCACATACACTATACAACACTACTGATACCTACTGGATTGCTCCATCATAGGAAGCCTGCATCACGCAAGATTTTGTCACGGAGAACCTCACTAGTGTCAACTTCACATGCAACTCTCTATCTCCCGGTGACATGAATGTAACCTGACTTATTCTCGGAACTAGCGGTTGCCGTGAGACACTAAACCTGCTATGTTTGCGAGACGTGGAGATTTGGACTCATATCGAGATTGGACGATGAAAGAAAGACATGTATGGGCTTCTTCAAGGTCCGCCATCCCTTCTATAATCGACTGTGGTCTACCTTGGGTGAGTAGCACCCGTTGTGCTTCCAGTCAAGGGTAAACTGTGAACTTTGGATCTGATTGCGTCCCTGAGATGGTCTCATTTCGCGCGGCATGGCGATTGTTCGGCTATATGATGGGCGGAGCTACTGTTGGCACAGACACACAAGGTCCACCTGACAGTGCAAATAGATAAACCTCGACTTGTGGAGAATCGAGAAAGACAGAAATAACTTACCTGAACCTAAGCGCCGATTGCCATGAAATAATTGGAAGCAAGACATTCGATCCGTCCACTGATGCCTGTCAAGCTCGGATACCGATCAGTGGATTGAGTTTTCTTGGAGCTGCGCACGCTAATGGATGCAGCAAGGAATATGTCAAAAGATGTGAATAAAATGAATCACCTACTGACTACGTCTGAACCCAGGGCAACAAAGATAGCACAACCAGCGGGCAAGTTCAAGGGTACTCTGCCTTTTCTCACTCTTCTCTGGGGCCTACAGCGGTACCATATACTCAACAATATAGGCAAAAGTGTGCAATAAAACAACCCAAGACGATAATTGAAAACCATAAAACAAATCATACCCATTAATGAGAGGCGCAGACCGAGGGCAACGATGGTCTTCTGGTCAGCTGCCATTAGTATAACCTAGGCATCACATCTCCGCAAGGGGCGGTACGAAAGAAAATAGAAACCGTCTCCTTGGTGATCTCAGAAAGATGCCGACTCCAACGATTGCAATGATGGGCCCTGTAATTTCAAGCCCCCAAGGGAGCCATCGCCGTTCTGCTTTAGAGTTGCAGCATCTCCGATGGGCTTCTTCACAACAGAGATCGTCGTCTCAGCGCACTGGCTCTCCACACTACCCCGACAGTGAGTTACGCCCGTAGGAGCCAAGGAAGTATTTGATTGGTGCTTAGGATATTAGACGGACCATCTTGTGAGTAAAGTGGTTCTATGTGTCTCACATCACCCTGGGTAGGTTATAGTTCCCCCTCTCATCCCACCAAGTTAACCCTCGCAGGTTGTTGGGGTAGTCTTGAAATCGGGGCCAAGAAAGACAACCAAAAACAATTCGAAAACATGGGCCTGGTAGTGTAAGGGTGATTGTTTGGACTGGAGCCAGATCACTAGTCACTCGGCCCTAAGCAAGATGTGGAGGATCGGCAGCCAACAGACTGATATTTTCGACCACTTCGTTCAGCACCACTCCGGGCTAGACCGTAGACCCTGGACGTAACCGCTAACCTGCTCTGGGTAGTAAATTGTCGGGCACCAGTCAGAGGATGTCAACGGGCGGTTGCAGTTCTTTTTTCCAGCAATTAGTGGTTGGCCGAGGTGCAGCTGAAGACAAGTCGCCATGTGATATAATTTGATCATGGAATGTCAACGAACTGTGAACCGTGTCTGTACAAACACACCACAGAAAGTTTTGAGAACAATTGAGATAGGACCCTTCTATTACGGACCTAGATCGTTTTTGGTTGGATTTGAGACGATCAACAAGCAGAAGCGGTTCTTTGGGAGCGTCATCGCCTGCTGAGCAATCCAAATCACCAGAAATTCAATCTTACCTAATGGGGTTTGCTGATGTGATTCTGTATTGCATGGTGCTAATCATAGTATATGCAGTTATGGCGACCAAAAATCAAATTGTCCACCATACACAGAGAAGTCGTTTGTTCAAACCCCGCCTGACATCGTAGTCCTCCGAATCGTGGGATTTCAACGGAAGAACCAACATGGAGACGGGGGCTTCTGTCTGCTCATCCAAGGTTTGGGGTATATAAGGGAGCTCGAATTCCCTCTTTCCTGGAATCTTGAGAACCAAGAATCATTTCAGACACACAATCATCCCGAAGAAACCTTCCTTGCATTCAATTTTACCTGAGCACAATGCTTGCCAAACACGTCCTTGCCGTCCTTCTGTCCGTTGGCGCTTCCGCCATTCCTTTCGACAAGCGAGATGCATCCACTGTCCTTGCTGATTTTGGTACACTCTCGACCGATCTGTCGGCTCTCGGCTCTGCTATTTCGAGCTTCGATGGAACGCTCAATGGTGCCTTGGCCGTCCAGCAGAAGGAAGGCGCAGTGGAGACAACATTGAAGCAAACCGTCAGCGATGTGAAAGCATCTACTGCATTCAGTGCCGCTGACAGCACAAGCGTGACCAATGCTGTGACTGGTCTGGAGCCTAGTATTGTGACCGTTCTCAATGATCTTGTATCTAAGGTATGTTGTCCTCAGCTTTGGATCCTTTCAAAGGATAGACCACTTACAAGATTGATAGAAATCCGGGTTTGACTCTGCTGGAGTTACCAGCGTTGTCGTTTCGGATCTCAACTCCCTCCATGGTCTTACTGGTCAGCTCTCAACTGAGCTCCAGTCGAAGGTCACTTCGGGTGACGCATCCACCATTTCTGCTGAGGCTGCGCGTCTTGATGCGGAATACCAAAAGGCTATCGCTGCCTATTCCTAAATCAAGGTACCATGTAGGCCCCGTAACAACGGATCGACGAAGGATGCGAATAGGCCAAACAAGCTGGGCAAAGTTCATTCTGTAGGAGTTAGGCTTCCTGTTAGCATAGTTCTCAAGCTATTGTGAAAATAGAAGTCAACTAAGTGGATTAGGTTGTGGAACTTGTGACCCTCTTTCTTTTTCACCACTCTAACACTAACTTTGCGTCATATGGTGCGTAGGCTCTGCTAGGTTCCTGATTGATTCCAGGACGTGGAACCAATGCCATACGTAGTTCCGAAGCATTCAACTTGAGTATACTCTCGTTTTAAAAGCATGATAAGTTCAGAGTTGCAATATAGTATAGATAAAAAGAGGGCTATATTGATATGTTACTGAATGTCATTTGAGACCACCTGCCATTTGGAGTTTCTCCTCATTTATAGATCTGATGAGGGGTTGGAAACCTGCCTCAGGCAGTGAATTACTCGTTATTTATGTGTGAAAGTCATTACTTGATTGGGAAGTGTTACCGTCAATCATCTTAAAACCGTTGCAAGTAACCCTGACGATCACCCTATATTTCTGTATACCTATTCTACACGGGGGTTATGGGTGTTTTATTTCCTGTACCTTTCCCCTTCCAGTTTCTTTCTTATCCTTTCAGAAGAGAGAGGATGTAGAGAACGGAATCAATTGAGTTTTTGTTCCCGGGGGCCTCAACCATAGCAACCCATGGAATGTACATACTCAACCACATAAACCCTAGAGTGCGCGCGTCATCACTGGAACAACTTGATTGACTACAAACGAACAAAAATCAACGCGTGGAGGTGCCTGAGGAGCGAAGAGTCTTTTGCTTCCTACAAACTGCATGAGTATGTATCCATCTAATTTCATCTATCTGCGTTTCGCACGGTACACCTGGGAGATCATCAGTTACTCAAGACCCTATATTCAACAAGGCATATGTAATGGTGCTGTTTCCTAGTTGGATTGTGAATTCCCCTGACGCAGATTACCCCTGAGACAATACATGTAACTGAATCTGTTTTCAGTAAACGGTAGATTGTAATCCGTGGGGTGTGCCATTGATTTCTATATTCTTTGACGTCACGATGTAAGCTCGGGAGGTTCGGGAAGTCGAGACTCAACATTATACTACACGAAGAGACAAAAGAAATATGGGCAAGAGCAGCCCCCCAGAGAGGTTCTCCAGTCCACAGGACGTTAACTTCCGAGTTCAACTGCGAAATACACCACAAAGATGGTCAAGATCTCGTTTTTCTTATTCATAATATCGGGCGGCAGCTGCAGTGCCTTGAGTCTCTGCGCAGGTCGATATTATTGTCCCTGGGCGGGGCCGGCACAAAGAGCATCAGAGCCCAAGGAGGATGCACACGTGTATGTTGGTACTGCCAGGTTGGACCTGCGTGGTATCCTGAATAGCTCTGTCTAGTAATTGCCGATCTACGAACTGACGCGACTATCAGGGCCACCATAGAACTGCCGAAGCAGCAGGTGCACTTTTCCAAGTTACCAGATACAGATAAGATTACCCGAGAGGATCCTTCGAATAGTGAAACATTCTCTTCACTGGACACAGTCTCCGACAGGCACCAAACCAACGTGCTACATGACCTTGGCGAGGAGACTGCTCGCCATGAGCGCACCTGGGCTTCGAGGCATGTCATTGTATCTTTCAGCTATGTGAATTGTGCCATACTAACTGGCTTGAACAGAGGAAATGGATGGAATGCTCGAGTGGAATTAAAGCTAAGGTAGATATAGACTCATCAAGGACCTGTGTATACGGCTAACAATGGTTTTAGTCCAGGGAGCCGGGCGATGTCCAGTCTGGACTGGGTTACTAGATGGGAGAAAGCAATAGACTGCCTTTCGTCAAAGGAGCTTGAGAATGTGGATATGTATGAAATGGATGAGCTTGCCCTTGCAGCTTTCTGGGACCGGGTGTGGGGATGCTATGTACCATATGCAGGTGGACGTGACGAATGAATGAAGTTATGATTCTGAAGGATCTGTGATGAAGCTTACAATTGAGTTTTTTATTTTTTATTTTTATTTTTTTTTATTTTAAAGGTTCTAAGAGTAGACTTTATTTTATCTGTGAGTAGTTAAGCTGTGCCACTCTGCCAACTAAGGGCGCACTCGTGTGCGAAATAATCGCAAAGGAGTCAAGTACATATAGCTCCTTTCACCTCTCATATTCCTTGGATATAACTATGAGACTGGCAGTAAAGTGAGCCATATGAAAATGACTCTCTGCAATAGGTGAATGGCAGTAACTTGGGTTCAAATTCATTGTTCGATCAGCAGTTGAAGTCTTAGTCTGGAAACAAGACAATGACTTCGACCTTTCATTTATAGAAATGACGATCTTATAAGCTTGACGTGATTGAAATAAAGGACCCCCTCCTTTTTCGAATTCAATTCTAATTCATGAAGATCAGTGTCTTTGGTTGTTCAGAGCAGGGCCAGACCGTCTCTCTATCTGCCCCTGGCTGCACGTGACGCCCCATAAGCGACACCTCAGCAACGACGGCCGCGCCGGTCTCCTGAGGTCACTTCCGCTTCCCCAGTCTATCATCAACTTACCCTCTCCCTGTTTCAAAGCCTCCTTACCCTCCCCTTCTTACTTCTTTTCCTTCCTTCCGTCTTTAGCTTCAATTTTAAATTTCCTTTCTTTCTCTTTCCTTATAACCCGGTGGAATTTATTTGCGTGGCGTTTCGTTGGTTGGGTGAGGTCGTCCTTCGGCCTACGTAAATATGGCTCCTCTCCCTATCAAGTTTACAGAGCTTATTAATGTATTCCCCGACCCTTGACTTCAATACTATCAGAATAGTGATGAGAGGCTGACATGTTTTCCTATACTTGCAGTTGACAAATGCTGAAATTGCGGTATGTCTTGTCGCACTGCCAGCTCGTGGTCTTTAAGGCTGCGGTGCTAGTCGCGCCCAACCATACCCATCCTAACTGTTGTCAACATCTACTTACGTTGTTATCTCTACCAGCCGGCATCGATCGGGTTCAACTCATGTGTAAGTCCCACACACACACATATTACACTGTTGCCCCTCAATTGATCTACAGTGTGCTAATTGCCCCCCTCCCCGCAACAGACTCTAGAATCGGATCACTATGTCTGCGTTCGGCAAAAGCTCAATGAAGAGGACAAACCTCAAGTCATCATCATCAACCTAAAGAACAACAATGAAGTCCTCAAACGGCCAATTAACGCCGATAGTGCTATCATGCACTGGACCCGAAACATCATCGCTTTGAAGGCTCAAGGCCGCACAATCCAAATCTTCGATCTGGGGGCGAAACAAAAGCTGAAGTCAGCGGTGATGAATGAGGATGTTGTTTACTGGAAGTGGTTCAGCGACAAGTGCTTAGGTTTGGTAACGGAGACGTCTGTTTACCACTGGGATGTCTTCGACCCTACCCAGTCCCAGCCACTCAAGATCTTCGACCGACTCCCTAACCTGAGCGTACGTCATATGCATCAAACACATATAAACAAGCGGATGGAACTGGAAAGCTGATATATTGATGTTTCATAGGGGTGCCAAATTATCAACTATCGCGTTAATGATGATGAGAAATGGATGGTAGTGGTTGGAATCAGCCAGCAGCAGGGGCGTGTTGTGGGCTCGATGCAGCTGTACTCTAAGGAACGCGGGATTTCGCAATTCATTGAAGGACATGCTGCCGCCTTCGCTTCGATTCGAGTCGAGGGTTCTCCTTTGGAACATAAGCTCTTCACCTTTGCCGTTCGGACCCAGACCGGTGCCAAGTTACAGATTGCCGAGATTGACCACCAAGAACCGAACCCCCGATTCCAGAAGAAGGCTGTTGAGGTGTATTTCCCCCAGGAGGCTGTCAATGACTTCCCGGTCGCGATGCAAGTATCTCGGAAGTACGATGTCGTGTATCTTGTCACCAAGTACGGCTTCATCCATCTCTATGACCTCGAGACTGGTACCTGCATTTTCATGAACCGGATTTCCAGCGAGACCATTTTCACTACCGCACCCGACTCAGATTCGGCTGGCTTGGTTGGTGTGAACCGCAAGGGTCAGGTTCTGTCCGTTAGCGTCGATGAGAGCACAATTGTTCAGTACTTGATGGAAAACCCTGCTATGTCTGGGCTTGCAGTGAGGCTTGCCTCTAAGGCTGGACTTCCCGGTGCGGACCACCTATACCAGCAACAGTTTGACAACCTCCTTGCCCAGGGCAACTACTCCGAGGCTGCTAAGATCGCCGCAAACTCGCCCCGCGGATTCCTTCGCACTCCCGAAACCATTAACCGTTTCAAGAATGCTCCTCAGACCGGACAGCAGATGTCTGTTATTCTCCAGTACTTTGGAATGCTTTTGGATAAGGGATCTCTGAACAAATACGAGAGTGTTGAACTCGTTCGTCCCGTCTTGCAGCAAAATCGGAAGCATCTCCTTGAGAAGTGGATGCGTGAGGAAAAGCTGGAGGGCTCTGAGGAACTTGGAGATATCATCCGACCCTATGACATGAACCTGGCTCTGCAAATTTACTTGCAAGCTAATGTTCCTCAAAAGGTCGTTGCTGGCTTTGCAGAGACTGGGCAATTCGATAAGATTCTCGCGTACTCTAAGCAGGCCGGTTATCAGCCTGACTATACCCAGCTGCTGCAGCATATCGTGCGTGTGAATCCCGAAAAGGGTGCCGAATTTGCTGCTCAGCTTGCTAACGAGGAATCTGGTGCTCTGATTGACCTGGACCGTGTTGTGGACGTATTCTTGTCTCAGAACATGATCCAGCAGGCGACTTCTTTCTTGTTGGATGCCCTCAAGGATAACAAGCCTGAGCATGGTCACTTGCAGACACGGTTACTGGAGATGAACCTGGTCAACGCCCCTCAGGTAGCTGATGCTATCCTTGGCAACGAGATCTTCACTCACTACGATCGTCCCAGAATTTCCCAGCTGTGCGAGAATGCTGGCCTCATTCAACGCGCCCTGGAGAACACTGATGATCCTGCAGCCATCAAGCGTAACATCGTCCGCACCGACAAGCTGAGTCCTGAATGGTTGATGAACTACTTCGGTCGTCTTTCTGTTGAGCAGACTCTCGACTGCATGGATACGATGTTGCAGGTGAACATCCGTCAGAACCTGCAGGCCGTTGTTCAGCTTGCCACCAAGTTCTCCGATCTCCTGGGCCCTGGTAGCCTCATCAGTCTTTTCGAGAAGTACCGTACTGCCGAAGGTCTTTACTACTACCTTGGAAGCATAGTTAACCTTAGCGAGGACCCCGAGGTCCACTTCAAGTACATTGAAGCTGCTACTGCTATGGGCCAGATTACTGAGGTTGAGCGCATTTGCCGTGAGAGCAACTACTACAACGCCGAAAAGGTGAAGAACTTCCTGAAGGAGGCCAAGTTGACAGAACAGCTCCCACTGATCATTGTCTGCGATCGATTCAACTTCATCCATGATCTCGTTCTCTATCTCTACCAGAACCAGCAGTACAAGTCTATTGAGGTCTATGTACAGCGTGTCAACCCTTCCCGTGCTCCGGCAGTGGTTGGAGGATTACTGGACGTTGATTGCGAAGAGAGCATTATCAAGAATCTTCTCTCTACGGTAGATCCAGCCGTTATTCCGATCGATGAGCTTGTCAACGAAGTGGAGACTCGGAATAGGCTCAAGCTCCTCTTGCCTTTCCTTGAGGCTACTCTTGCAACTGGTAATCAGCAACAGGCTGTGTACAATGCTCTTGCGAAGATCTATATCGATAGCAATAACGATCCTGAGAAGTTCCTCAAGGAGAACGATATGTACGACACCCTGACTGTCGGCAAGTACTGTGAGAAGCGCGATCCGAACCTGGCCTATATCGCGTATAGAAAGGGTCAAAATGACCTGGAGCTCATCAACATCACCAATGAGAACGCCATGTATCGGGCCCAGGCACGCTACCTCGTCGAGAGGGCTGATACGGAAATCTGGTCTTTCGTTTTGAGCGAAAACAACGTTCACCGTAGGTCCATGGTTGACCAGGTTATCGCAACCGCAGTGCCTGAATCGACGGAACCCGACAAGGTGTCTGTTGCTGTCAAAGCCTTCCTTGAGGCCGATCTGCCTGGCGAGCTTATCGAGCTGCTGGAGAAGATCATCCTTGAGCCGTCACCCTTCAGTGACAATGGCAGCTTGCAGAACCTGCTTATGCTCACTGCTGCTAAGGCTGACAAGGGCCGCCTGATGGATTATATTCATCAGCTCAACGAATTTAGCCCCGATGAGATCGCGGAAATGTGTATCTCGGTCGGCTTGTACGAAGAGGCCTTTGAAATTTACAAGAAGGTCAACAACTACATTGCCGCCGTCAACGTCCTGGTTGAGAACATTGTTAGCATTGATCGTGCCCAAGAGTTTGCTGAGCGTGTTGAGTTGCCGGACGTATGGAGCAAGGTTGCCAAGGCACAACTGGACGGTCTTCGTGTGTCTGACTCTATCGAGTCGTACATTCGTGCTGGTGACCCCTCGAACTACCTCGAGGTTATTGAAACCGCAACCCACGCTGGCAAGGACGAGGATCTCGTGAAGTATCTTAAGATGGCCCGCAAGACCTTGCGGGAGCCCCCCATTGACACTGCTCTGGCCTTCGCCTATGCCCGCCTTGATCAGCTCTCGGAACTTGAGGACTTCTTGCGGTCGACCAATGTTGCTGATGTTGAGACATCTGGTGACAAGGCCTATGAGGAAGGTTACCATGAAGCTGCCAAGATCTTCTACACTAGTATCTCGAATTGGGCCAAGCTTGCCACAACCTTGGTACACTTGGAAGACTACCAAGCTGCTGTGGAGTGTGCTCGCAAGGCCAACAGTGTCAAGGTCTGGAAGCAGGTCAACGAAGCGTGCGTCAACAAGAAGGAGTTCCGTCTTGCCCAGATCTGTGGTCTCAACCTCATCGTCCATGCTGAGGAGCTGCAGGATCTTGTCCGCCAATATGAGCGCAACGGATACTTTGACGAACTTATCTCTGTTCTGGAGGCCGGCTTGGGCTTGGAGAGGGCCCACATGGGCATGTTCACGGAGTTGGGTATTGCGCTCTCCAAGTACCACCCTGATCGGGTCATGGAGCACCTCAAGCTCTTCTGGTCTCGTATCAATATCCCCAAGATGATCCGGGCTTGCGAGGATGCCAACCTCTGGCCAGAGCTGGTGTTCTTGTACTGCCACTATGATGAGTGGGACAACGCCGCATTGGCGATGATGGAGCGTGCTGCCGACGCCTGGGAGCATCACTCATTCAAGGACATCATCGTCAAAGTCGCTAATCTTGAGATCTACTACCGCGCGCTCAACTTCTACCTGCAAGAGCAGCCTTTGCTCCTTACCGATCTGCTCCAGGTTTTGACCGCCAGGATCGACGTGAATCGTGTCGTGCGCATTTTCCAGTCCTCAGATAACATCCCCTTGATCAAGCCCTTCCTCTTGAACGTCCAGACCCAAAACAAGAGAGCAGTGAACGACGCCATCAATGACCTCTTGATCGAGGAGGAAGATTACAAGACCCTGCGTGACTCAGTGGATAACTACGACAACTTCGACGCTGTGGAACTGGCTCAGCGCCTTGAGAAGCACGAGCTGATCTTCTTCCGTCAGATCGCTGCGAACATCTACCGCAACAACAAGCGTTGGGAGAAGTCGATTGCGCTTTCGAAGCAGGACAAGCTCTACAAGGATGCAATCGAGACCGCGGCGCTGTCGGGCAAGGCCGAGGTGGTGGAAGAGCTCCTTCGCTACGTAAGTTTCTGTTGTGCCCTAATCATGGAAGTGTTTTGCTAACTTTATCCTAGTTTGTGGACATTGGCAGCCGGGAATGCTACGTTGGCATGCTGTATGCCTGCTATGACCTTATCCGTCCCGATGTGATCATGGAGGTCTCGTGGCGCCACGGCCTTCACGATTTCACCATGCCCTACATGATCAACTTCCTGTGCGAGCAGACACGTACGATCGAGATGCTCAAGAAGGACAACGAGGAACGCAAGAAGCGCGAAGTCACACAGAAGACCGAAGAGGACAACACACCGATTCTGGGTGGCTCGCGGCTGATGTTGACCCAGGGTCCAGCGGCGCCCGTGCCAAGTCCTATGCCGTATCAACAGACTAACGGGATCACGCCGCAGGCCACCGGCTTCCGCCCGTTCTAGACACGTACGCATCTTACGCCTCGTCAGCTGAAGAATTTCTTTTTCTTTTCTTTTTATGTTTTTATTCCCTCTTCCAATAGGGTTTCGTGTATGTATAGCATCAGCCATGAATGATCTGCCGTTGATCTTGGTGAGACTAAAAGCCGGAGAGGGTCGTAGAGGATGTCCACCGGGGGCGGTTCTTTTACAGACTTTGATGGATCGTCATTGACGTCTTGTTGTCTATCTTCTTACTCCATAATTCTCTCTTCTTTTGTTTCTTTCTATGCCCATCCCCTGTATTTGATAGTCCTCGAAAATTCTTGATGATGAGCCGTGCAGTACGCTCACGGGAAGCATTTGTTTGTTAGTTAATGGTATTGTTTTCTTGACGGGACGATGTTGCCCCATGGGGGGTTACACCTTATCCTCGCCGTTGGTAGGGGTAACAAGATCCCACATAATTTGTGGAGACTTGTAGTTAGTTCAATCGATGGTACCACATCGGTGGAAAGGAGGTACTAAGAAGAAAGGTAAGCCGGTTAAAAGAATGGACGGTGGTGGTCTGGATGGGAGTGACCTTAGCCGTGAGGGGGATAAATTGGGAGGAATGAATGTGATGCATGTAATTAATGGATGGACAATCGGAGGAGGTTACGGAGAAATGGATGGATCAGACAGCCATATAAGAGACGTAACGCTTGCTGCAGGAGAAGGTGCATTATCTCGAAAACGCCCAGACGGAGCACGATGACCTTGTACGCGGTGGGACGGTTTCGGTAACCCTGCCAAGGGACACTCAAACGGAGAGCGAATTCTGCCCGAGATTTTTCCAGGTCACGAGAAAACGAAAAAACGGGGTGGAGCGCTTGAGGTCAAGTTTGAAGTCTGCATCCCACTACTAACCTCGGCCCAGGCCAAAACGAGACGTCCGGAAAGCGTTCTCCGGGGGTGGGTTTCCATTTGTAGATCCCTTTGCCTAAGCCCATCTGCAAATTTCAGCATCGCAGCTTGCATCTGGCATTCTGGCCCCTCCCGCGCTCGCCTATCTTCGGCCATACGCCATCGTTTCAACTAACGCGAACCCTCTTGAGGCAATTCGCCATTTTGATTACCATTTCTTATTTCCTGTTTCTGTTCCCGTGAGACATTTTCCTTTTATTTTATTCCATTCGATTGCGTTCCACTTTCCGGTTTATTACTTTTCTCATTACTTCACTTCCAATTCTTTTTCTTGTGTCTGGAGGGAATTCGCCCGAGGACCCGAGGTACAGACCGTGCCAGAAAACGTCAGGTCCTGAACCTCCCGATTCAATTCGGCAATATTAGGATCTACTACAAGGGAAGCCATTGGAGGAAGCTTAGTTGATGGGGATGGTCTGGAAGCTGAGGAATAGACCACGAGCTTCTTTGCCGGTTAATTATTGATTTCACTATCTTGTTTTACACAGTATCTTCCTTTGCCGAGAATTGATCGCCCGTATGGATTGAGATCATGCGGATAAGAAAAAAAAAAAAAAAAAAAAAACTAGAAGAAAAGTAGTACTAAAACTATGACATTGCATAAATGTAGGATCTTCCATTGGCCAATGATCTGGACCAACAGGAGTTCCCAATGAGAAGCCCGTGGGAAATCATCTACCTGTACGTACTACGGGTAGTAGTACTAGTATTGGGCCAAGAGTTATAAATGATATTAGCATACAGAATTGGAAGCGGAGGGGAAAAAATAAAAAAATAAAAAATAAAATTAAAGAATAAAATAAATTTCGACGGGTGGTTACCTAAACAAAGAACACAAGAGGGTTGGTCACTAGGTAAACATTATGGGGAAGTTCCAGGTGAAAGACACTATCTAGGAGGGGGATTATTTGCAGACTATGAGAGTGGGGACCGTGGGACGTCATCCATGGCATTGGAGTGGTATTCTTGGACGATGTGCCCTTGGCACCTGGGAGGTGTGCCCGGTGTGCCGGTGAGATCAAGAGGATAGGATCACTCTCCTTTGAAGGGTTTCGGTATGCAACAGATGGAGTTGATAAGAAAGCACCGTCGGATAGACTTTTTGATGTCATGTGAAGCTGCCAATTCATGGTTAGAGTTAGCGTAGGGTATGGCAGTATCGGACCGGTATGGTCACGGTCCCTGCCACTGTCACTGTATGTGTCTGGGCTGGTATGTCTTGTATGTACGATCCGGAGTATGGACGGACTGTTCCCACATCGCTGGGCCTGAGGCAGACCCCGCCCCTCCTTCTCCCCTCCCCGTGCTTCTCTTTATCAGTTTCCGACTCTCTTTGCCCTCCGTGGACATATTAGACCATTGCCTCTCTCGCATCCTTTTCTTCTTTCTCTCCACCCATTTTCTCAACTTCCCACTACTCAACGCCCCTCCTCTCTCATCAATCCTCTCCCCTCATTCTCCAAGTAGAGAGATCTCGGCTCGATATCTTTTCGGGTCCCTCCAACGATCTACCCCTCATAGTATTTCTCCCCCCCGCGTTCTTCCTCAGATTCCCGTTCCGAAACCGGGAGATTTTCTTCCCCTCCGCGAGCTGTCCGGCGGAAAGCTATTCTTCGTCTCCGCGAGCTAAAGGTGACTCACTTCTGATTCCCGGACCCATTGGCCTCGCCTCTAACTTTTAAACCCCTGGCGTGTCCTTCTAGAACATCTTGTCTCTCTCTCTCTTTTCTCCCTCTCCGCTCATTCTTCCTCTATCCCCCCCTCCTCCTAACCACCTCCTCCACCTTTCACATCACCTCCCACCATGGCGGCTCCGTTTCGTCAGCCTGAGGAGGCGGTCGATGACACCGAGTTCATCGATGACCACCATGAACACCTCCGCGATACCGTGCACCATCGGTTACGCGCCAATTCGTCCATCATGCACTTCCAGAAGATCCTCGTCGCCAACCGTGGCGAGATCCCCATTCGTATCTTCAGAACAGCCCACGAGCTGTCCTTGCAGACGGTTGCTATCTACTCCCATGAAGATCGTCTGTCAATGCACCGCCAAAAGGCCGACGAGGCCTACATGATTGGCCACCGCGGTCAGTACACCCCTGTCGGTGCGTACCTGGCGGGCGATGAGATCATCAAGATCGCCCTGGAGCACGGTGTCCAGCTGATCCACCCGGGCTACGGCTTCTTGTCCGAGAATGCCGACTTCGCCCGCAAGGTTGAGGACGCCGGTATGGTCTTTGTGGGTCCCACTCCCGAGACCATTGACAGCTTGGGTGATAAGGTGTCCGCCCGTCGGCTGGCCATCAGCAGCCAGGTGCCTGTCGTCCCCGGTACCGAGGGCCCAGTTGAGCGCTATGAGGAGGTCAAGGAGTTCACAGACACCTATGGCTTCCCTATCATCATCAAGGCTGCCTTTGGTGGTGGTGGTCGTGGTATGCGTGTGGTCCGTGGCCAAGACGAGCTGCGTGACTCGTTCGAGCGGGCCACCTCCGAGGCCCGCTCTGCCTTCGGCAATGGCACCGTCTTCGTCGAGCGCTTCCTCGACAAACCCAAGCACATTGAAGTCCAGCTTCTGGGTGACAGCCACGGCAATGTTGTCCATCTGTTTGAGCGTGATTGCTCCGTGCAGCGTCGTCACCAGAAGGTCGTCGAAGTCGCTCCTGCCAAGGACCTCCCCGCCGATGTCCGTGACCGCATCCTGGCGGATGCCGTGAAGCTGGCCAAGTCCGTCAACTACCGCAACGCCGGTACAGCTGAGTTCCTGGTGGACCAGCAGAACCGCCACTACTTCATTGAAATCAACCCTCGCATTCAAGTCGAGCACACCATCACCGAAGAGATCACCGGTATCGATATCGTCGCTGCACAGATCCAGATTGCTGCTGGTGCTAGCCTCGAGCAACTGGGCTTGACCCAGGACCGCATCTCCGCCCGCGGATTTGCCATTCAATGCCGTATTACCACGGAAGACCCCGCCAAGGGATTCTCGCCGGATACCGGCAAGATTGAGGTTTATCGTTCCGCTGGTGGTAACGGTGTCCGTCTGGACGGTGGTAACGGTTTTGCTGGTGCTATTATCACCCCTCACTACGACTCCATGCTGGTCAAGTGTACCTGCCGTGGTTCGACTTATGAAATCGCTCGTCGTAAGGTTGTGCGTGCTTTGGTCGAGTTCCGTATTCGTGGTGTGAAGACCAACATTCCCTTCCTCACTTCGCTTCTGAGCCACCCTACCTTCGTCGACGGAAACTGCTGGACCACTTTCATCGACGACACCCCCGAATTGTTCTCTCTCGTCGGCAGCCAGAACCGTGCCCAGAAGCTGCTCGCATACCTCGGTGATGTGGCTGTCAACGGCAGTAGCATCAAGGGCCAGATTGGCGAGCCCAAGCTCAAGGGCGATGTCATCAAGCCGACACTGTTCGATGCCGAGGGCAAGCCGCTCGATGTTTCCGCCCCCTGCACCAAGGGTTGGAAGCAGATCCTCGACCGGGAGGGTCCGGCTGCCTTTGCGAAGGCCGTGCGTGCCAACAAGGGCTGCTTGATCATGGATACTACCTGGCGTGATGCCCACCAGTCTTTGCTGGCCACCCGTGTGCGTACCATCGACTTGTTGAACATCGCCCATGAGACCAGCTACGCCTACTCCAACGCGTACAGTTTGGAATGTTGGGGTGGTGCCACTTTCGATGTGGCCATGCGTTTCCTCTACGAGGACCCCTGGGACCGTCTGCGCAAGATGCGTAAGGCCGTTCCTAACATCCCCTTCCAGATGTTGCTCCGTGGTGCCAACGGTGTCGCCTACTCTTCCCTTCCGGACAACGCCATCTACCACTTCTGTAAGCAGGCCAAGAAGTGTGGTGTCGACATCTTCCGTGTCTTCGACGCTCTCAACGACGTCGATCAGCTCGAGGTCGGAATCAAGGCTGTTCACGCTGCCGAGGGTGTTGTCGAGGCCACCATGTGCTACAGCGGTGACATGCTGAACCCCCAGAAGAAGTACAACCTGGAGTACTACATGGCTTTGGTGGATAAGATTGTTGCCATGAAGCCTCACATCCTTGGTATCAAGGATATGGCCGGTGTGCTGAAGCCTCAGGCCGCGCGCCTGTTGGTGGGCTCCATCCGCCAGCGCTACCCTGACCTCCCCATCCACGTCCACACCCACGACTCCGCTGGAACCGGTGTGGCTTCCATGATCGCCTGTGCCCAGGCAGGTGCCGATGCTGTGGATGCCGCAACCGACAGCATGTCTGGTATGACCTCCCAGCCTAGCATTGGTGCTATTTTGGCCTCCCTCGAGGGCACTGAGCAGGACCCCGGTCTCAACCTGGCCCACGTGCGCGCTATCGATAGCTACTGGGCACAGCTGCGCTTGCTCTACTCGCCCTTCGAGGCGGGTCTCACTGGCCCCGACCCCGAGGTCTATGAGCACGAGATCCCTGGTGGTCAGTTGACCAACCTCATCTTCCAGGCCAGTCAGCTCGGCTTGGGTCAACAGTGGGCCGAGACCAAGAAGGCCTACGAGGCGGCCAATGATCTGCTCGGCGACATTGTGAAGGTCACTCCCACCTCCAAGGTGGTCGGTGACTTGGCTCAGTTCATGGTCTCGAACAAGCTGACTCCAGAGGATGTTGTTGCGCGCGCTGGTGAACTGGACTTCCCTGGCTCTGTGCTTGAATTCCTCGAAGGTCTCATGGGACAGCCCTTCGGTGGATTCCCTGAGCCACTGCGCTCCCGCGCCCTGCGCGACCGCCGTAAGCTCGAGAAGCGTCCAGGTCTCTACCTCGAGCCTTTGGATCTGGCTAAGATCAAGAGCCAGATTCGGGAAAAGTTCGGTGCTGCTACTGAGTACGACGTGGCCAGCTTCGCCATGTACCCTAAGGTCTTCGAGGACTACAAGAAATTCGTCCAGAAGTATGGTGACCTCTCTGTTTTGCCTACCCGGTACTTCTTGGCCAAGCCTGAGATTGGTGAGGAGTTCCACGTCGAGCTGGAGAAGGGTAAGGTGCTCATTCTGAAGTTGTTGGCCATCGGTCCTCTGTCCGAGCAGACCGGTCAGCGTGAGGTCTTCTACGAAGTCAACGGTGAAGTGCGCCAGGTCGCTGTCGATGATAACAAGGCCTCTGTGGACAACACCTCTCGCCCTAAGGCCGATGTGGGTGACAGCAGCCAGGTCGGTGCTCCTATGAGCGGTGTGGTTGTTGAGATCCGTGTCCACGATGGTCTGGAGGTTAAGAAGGGTGACCCACTTGCCGTCCTGAGTGCTATGAAGATGGTAAGTTTACTACGAATCGCTTTTGCTATCACTAGTCAACTACAGCTGCTAACAACTTATTCAGGAAATGGTTATTTCTGCTCCTCACAGCGGCAAGGTCTCCAGCCTGCTGGTCAAGGAGGGCGATTCTGTGGACGGCCAGGATCTCGTCTGCAAGATCGTCAAAGCGTAAGCAGATTAAAAGCTTAAAAGCAAAAAATTCGAAAGAAAAAAAGATGGCTACCAAAACATGCCGCCAAGGTGCATGATGAAATGAATATTTGGATGTTTCATGTTCATATTAGAGCGTTGTTTGTCCCTTGTTGGTATTTTATCTGGGTTGGGTTCATGATTTTCCTTTTCGATAACAGGGGCCAAAAAAACAATGGTCTCTTAGCCACTATATTTGAATTGAGTGACTTAATGATTTCATCTTATTCGTGTTGTAGCGTCTCAACCGTAATATACTCCGTATATACATGCTAGCTCAGGTTGTGCGCAGACTCGCGAGGATCTAAATTCGAGTACATCCTTAGCGCTCTAACTATTCATACCTAACATAATGCTTTCAGGATTCAAAGTTTAGCAGTAGGACCATTACCCTGTTCACCAACTGCCCTCAAGGCCTTCCACGCCCGCATTGCCTCATCCCAGAGACCATCCTGCCAAATCTCCACCGATCCATCAGGTCTCAGCTTCCTCATCTCCCGGTGGCTCTTCGTGCCCCAACCTATATCCGCTTCGCCATGAACAAACTTAGTCAGGGGATCAATAAACGCATTCTTAATGATCGACTTCTCCTCCGCCTGGAGAACAGACCCATTCCCCCACCACCAGATGTACTGATCCGTAGCATGCGTGACGCCCCATTCCGGTGGAATAGTCTCATCGGCACACTTAAGCCGGTACTCGACGCGATAACGATACAGGAGATGAGCAGCACCACCCAGCACGAGAGAATGCACGAGTCCTCGCTGCATCTTGTACACCTGCATATCGGCATAAATACGACCGAACGCATCGCTGTTCCAGTCCTGACATCCAGAGGGTAATTTGCCGTCTGGGCAATATAGTTTCATCAGAGTATCTACGATGGGAGCCGTGTAGTCGGCTAGGAGACGCTTGTAGAGCGAGGAACGATCATTCTGGGGCGGGTACCAGCTAGCGTAGAGGGCGCCTTCATCGCGGCATTCGCCGAGCATGATGCGAATGTTGCGGGCTGCGATGCGGCGGCCGAAGTTGCCATTGTCGAGGGATTGGAAGATGGTGGGTTGGATGAAGAGGGAGTCAGTTGTGGGGCGGAATTGGTTGATCTTGAGGTTTGTTGCCGTAGAGAGGAGTTTGTCACCCGGGACGGAGCGGAGCTGGGCGAGTTTGTCGGCCCAGGAGAGCGTGGGGGAGATGTTAAAGGCGGAGAGTAGCTCGTTGAATTGGACTTGGGCGGAGGGTGGGGCCTTGGGCTGGGCCACTGGGCTGTTGGACCAGATGCAGGCTTGCTTGATGATTGATTGGTCTTCTGGTAGGTGGAGGTCATAGGATAGTTGGTAGAAGACGGAATAGGCGCCTTTTTGCAGGGAAGCGGGTTAGCGTACATAGTTCTTTGTGTATTGGGAGGTTGGATGGATGCTTGCCAGCTGAGTATCCCGATATGCTGATCCGGGAGGGATTACCTCCGAAGAGAGCTATGTTATCTCTCGTCCATTCGAGAGCTAGACGTTGGTCCCAAAATCCCTGATTTCCGACTGGTTCACTGACTGTGGCGGCATCGTGCTCCAGCTCAGAGGAGTACAAGAAGCCAAAGACGCCTAGACGATATGCTGGCATAACCACGACAGCATTGAATGCTGCCTCGCCTAGTAGAGCGCCGGCGGAGAAAGCGTTAGGGGTTCCGAATTGCAGAAAGCCTCCGTCTGGTACAGGATTTTGATTAGCCATTGTGATAAGGTATTCTTCCAAGGTAACTTACGGATAAAGACGAGTACTGGCCACCCTGAAGAATTAACTACTGTTAGTGTTGCTCTTTTTCTTCTCTCTTAAGAGGAGGCTAGGAGAATGGTCGACCTACCGTCCTTGGGTGGTTCACCGGCGGGAACCCAAACATTGCATTGAAAGCAATCCTCACTCAAACTATCCCCGAGGGAAAGACGCGGGAATGTAGGCTGGGGGCAGACGCCAGTTGCTCCAGCGCATTGGCCGGGGTGATCTTTGCTACCGTAGGAATACGATGGCGGTAATTTCTGGGCTTTCCGCCATCGTTCAGTCGGAGGCAAGGCGTAGCGGAGACCTCCAAAGTAATGACACCAGGGGGAATTGGTGGTTCTATCTGTGAGAGTAACACCCTGTACAAACCCACGATGTTCAAGGGATTTCAGGCAAGGACTCCGCAAGGGTTCCATTGTGTGTCTATGCTGGTTTGGAGTAGGCAGGCCGATGTTTGGTGGAATGCGCGGCTCAGTTGTTTGTTTTTCAGACACGTTGACTTGCGGACCCCGAAATCGGGTAACAACTTGTAAAGAGCCAATTGGTATCTGGTAGAATAGTCTTACATGGAGAAACACTCTTGAATAGGCGCTATTGCCGTATTATATAGCTCCTGAGGCCGTGGAACTGGCGATAATCTCCCCGCGCAATGACCCCAACCATGGCGGCGATAACAGGCTTGATAGCCGAGTAGATAGAGTGGGTGGGGCTATTGGAGAAAGCCAGGGCAACTCATAGTTGAGAACCGATCGGGTCGGCAAAGGCGCCCTGTGGGAGAAACAGATAAGACAGATGAGGAGAAACGAAGAGAGAGAAGGATTGGAGGCTGCATGGCTTGGGGAGAGCTACACAGGTGATCTGGTTCCGCTTCGGCGCTACATCTGGACCCCGGGGGATGCCCGAGGCAGAGATGTCAGCCCCAAGACCAAAGGTCAACCAATAAACTCAGTATCAGCCGTATTGGATCCGTCGCATAATTCCGAGATCATTCCGCACAGGAAGACCATAAGAGTGAAATTGCCGAATTGATGGATCTGGGAGGAGCGGAACTGCCGTCAGACGCAACGAGGATCTGTATTTTATCAGCCATCGTAGCCCCAAGCCCTAATCTGATAGTAACTTGATCCATACTAGTATATAACCTTGAACGATGCCAAAGGCTCGCCCTTAATGGATATTGCTGGCGTAATAACTTTTTCTTTTGAGAGGTCAGTTCAACTGTGATTTGCCCACGAATATAATAGCTAACTATTGGACCATTGTTCTAGTATTCTGTGGCCTTCAACCTTGGGAATCCAAAGTTTCATTTGCTGCGATCCCCGCATTTGGCAACTCACCTGACGTCAAGCCGCCATCAACGATCGTCCAACGATTCCATTGAATTATACATCAGTCTACGCTGATTGATCGTTCCCATATTAATTTGACTGTTGGACCTAAGCGGATCTGGACACCTCTGCTCCCGCGCCAATAATGATGAATCATCAACGTCTTTGGTTCATCTAGAGCTCCCCAAGACCCCAGACAGTTACGAGGCCTGCATGAAGAGTGATTGGGTCACTGGGGGGATTTGCCCCCTGCCGGCACGAAAGGGAACACAGCTGGGATGATGTATCATTCATCCAGACTTTGTTCCATTCCTTGAGTGGCCCTTTCCCTTACCCCTCTCGCTCTCTGAGCGCCCCCCCCGGCTATTGAGCCATATATTACGGTCGTGTGTCCGGTGGTGGCTCGTCCCTCTTCAGTTAAATTGGTGTGACATCTTTCATCCATTTATCAATCAATCTTATCGACCTGGTAAGTTTCCTGAGCTTATGAAATGTCCACCTTGTGCTTTGATACTCGCATTTGTTGGCACACAGTGACTTTCCCTTTTCGGTACCAAACCGGAAGGATGACGTCTGAGACTCTTGGAGTGGCATATCAAGCAACACAAACTTTACATCACGTATTTAGCCAGAAACGACAGCTAATATATGCATAGTTGATCTCTGAAGCCACGGAAGCCTTCAGTCAAGCAACATGAGCAACCAGCAGAACAACCCCCAGTCGCCCCGCCACTGGCACGGCAGCCTGGGCGATCGCTATGAGCACCACAACGTATGGGTGACAGGCGGCCCTCCCCAGCCCTACATGGCTCGACGGCCTTCTGGTGCCGAAGCAGCAAGTGCAAGTGCCACAGCTGAAAGACGTGTATGCCTGTTCAGACTTTCATCAAACTCTCACACATACGTATTGTTTTGACACTTAGGCTGACTGTCCTTAAACATTCCAGGAATCTGTCTCGTCTAGCATGTCTTCAGGCTCGAACAGCCCCCCAACAGCTCCAAACAGGAGACGTTCTAGTCAGGGTTCGTCCCTATTTGAAAGTCTGACGAACCAGAAGCGGAACTCCACGGATCCTGCTTCGGCCGCACGCCGCGCGAGTTACAATGACCAGGCGCAGCAGGGCGGTTTCTTCTCGAAATGGTGGGAGGGGTATACTCGTGGTGGTTCCAAATAAGCCATTATTGAGTTCGTGCTGTGAAGGATGGCAGAATGATATACTGGATCAGAATTTATTATGTTGAATGCTTATATGACTGTACGCCGAAGAGTTTCGCGCTTGATATTGTATGTATTCGTTCGTATACAAGCATATTGTGTTAATGAAAGTGGACATATATAGGGAGATGCTCCATAGTCATGGCCGTAAGTTTGTTTAACACGTCTTGGCTTTGATTGGGTGTTGAGATTGGGGCGGTTGAGTCTGGCTGTATTCATGCCTCAGGTCCAGTAGCTAGTGCATGTGAAACGCAGCCCGAGATTATACTTGCAGACCCGGCAATCTAAGAAGGGACCACCCCAGTGTAAACACTAGTGATCCCATATGCTTAATGGCGCTTCGAAATGGGCCCACACTCTACGATATGATCTTGATCATGACCCACATAATTGTTGATCTTTCTTGACTACAAGGCGAGCTTACAATGGAAAGTACATTACGGCGTTCTCCAGGTGAGCATGGAGCCGGGCTGATCTCCGTACCATCCATGTTGGCCTAAGAGCGAGGAATACACTGCCAGCAAGGGACAGGTAGAAGGACATGTTCTTGGACCCTGAAAGAGTTCCAACGGCCAAATAGCCACCAGTATCACAGAGTGTGATGTGGCAAGCATCATGCAAATCTTTTCATCAATGGTTATGCGGATACATCACCCTGTGTGAAGCCTTCATTGTGAAAAGTGGATGCGTTTTTTGAACTTGAGTATTTGGATTCCTAACACGCCTATCCTCATGCCGTGGTAGAAACAAGTATTTCAAAGCAGAACGGCATATTTTCTGCCCTTTTTTATTGATTCATCATAAACGCAGCCCCCTGGCTCCCCCAAAGACCAGAAATGAAACATTTACCGGACGATTCCGTCGAAGCGGTTCTTGAACCACTTGATGGTCTCGGTCTGGTTGATACGGTGAGGAGCACCGATACGGGCCTTGCAGCGGCGACGCTTAGCGACACGCTCACCAGGGCGGGTCCTGATTCTGATGTGAGTTCTTGACCTTTGTCGACCGTTCCTGGTTATACTCACATGCAGCAGTAGAAGTCCATGCCGTAGATACCAATGCCAGGGTCGTACTTGATACCAAGATCGATGTGCTCGTTGATACCGAAGCCGAAGTTGCCGGTCTCGGAGAAGTTCCTCTTGCGGAGCTCGTACTCCTTGACCTTAAGACCACGCTCAAGGATCTCCTCGGCCTTGGGGCCACGGACGGTGACGTGGACGGCGATCTTTTCGTTACGACGGATACCGAAGGTACGGACAGTGTAGCGGGCCTTGCCTATGGATCACGGAAAATTCTCCCATCAGCCATTCCATTCCGTAATATTTCGTAGTGTTTTCCATATCCTCCATTATAAAATCAAAATATTCGGATCGAGGGCGTCCTTACTGTAGACAGGAGTCTGACCGCTCAGCTGCTCGAGCACCTTAGCAGCACGGGTAAGTCTGTCACCAGACTCTCCGACACTGATGTTAAGCACGAGCTTCTGGATGCGCAGCTCGCGCATGGGGTTCGCGCTCTTGTCCTTTCCGTCCGACTGCATGGCGATAAAACGTTAGAAAAAAAAATCTCAGGCGATTAGAGTGGTTGAGTTGGTGAGATGGAACATACCATGGCGACTACTTTGGCGTGTATGGTCGACTCGTGTGATTAGAAGATTCGAAAAGAAGATCGAAAAGTGAGTAAAAGGGAATGTGCGGGCAGAGTGGGAAGCGAGAAGCCCTTAGCGTCTTGGCACCGTCGGCTGGCGCTAAAGTGCAGAGCCGCGTCTAAGTCACGACACCCGCAGAGCTTCAGGAAGTTTGAGCGGGTGAGCTCGTGCCAGCAAGTCCTCAACCTTCTTGACGGGCGCGCAAGCTCAAAGTGAACGTTTAGTAGGAGATTTCTTCTACTACTTCACGCATATTCTTTGGTTTATATCAAGCCGCATTCGTGCGCATCTTTTAGGCAAAATGGCTGCCAACAAGCAGGGCAAGATGGTAAGTTTGATTTGATTGATCTTTGTCGCGGTCCAGACCTTCTCCTAAAGTACTTGATGGATAGTATTGGCTGACTTGGTCAATTCTATAGCAAAACCTCGTAAGTGACAATGCGCTCGTTTAACCACCCGCCCGCGGAATCCTAATGTGCTGCAGATCAACTATCGGATGAGAGTTACCCTTAACGATGGCCGACAGATGACCGGACAAATGCTCGCATTTGATAAGGTACATTGACTCTCAATCATTGCTTGTCTTGATTGAAACTTTCATTAACAATGATATTTCAGCACATGAACCTCGTCCTCGCCGATACAGAAGAATTCCGCCGCGTCAAGCGGAAGTCCAAGCCAGCTGCTGGACCGGCTAACGCTCCCCTCGTGGAATCGGAAGAGAAGCGAACCCTCGGTCTTACGATTGTGCGCGGTACCCACGTCGTCTCTTGCTCTGTTGATGGACCACCCCCCGCAGACCCCTCTGCACGACTTGGAACAAGCGTCCCAGGCGCAGCTGCTGCCGCTGCAACTCTCGCCGCCGGTCCTGGAATCAGCAAACCCGCTGGACGTGGTCTACCTGTTGGACTCGGAGGCCCTGCTGCCGGTGTTGGAGGACCCCCGCCTCCTCCTGGCGGCTTCCCTGGTTTCCCCCCTGGTGGTTTCCCAGGAGCGCCGCCACCGGGATTCGCTGGCCGTGGAGCGCCTCCGGGAGGACCTCGTAAGTTTCATTGGCGCTGAGATATGCTTGGAAGGGGACAGATTACTGACTTTCAACTAGCTGGTTTCGCTCCTCCCCCAGGATTTGCTCCCCAGGGTGGACCTCGTAAGTGACTGGCTTGGGTTCATACGTCATACGTCATAGGCTAACTGGTATTGTTCAGCGGCCGGGTTCCAACCTCCTCCAGGATTTCAGCCTCCGGGCCAAGGACGTGGATTCCCTCCACCAGGATTTGGGGGACGGTGAAGCTCGTATGTCGAGCGGCAAAACCGCTTACAATATTCCGACCCCAAGTGAAACCTGGCGGCCTACTAGTGTTGGGATAAGAAATACGCATCCTATTCATATACATGTTCGATGATTAGGCATAGCACACCGAGTTTTACCAGGCAAAGGCGTTGCGGCGTGTGCGGATGCAGGGAATGCCCGAGTGATAGCAAAGGTCGACCTGAGAAAAAAAAAGTCGAGGACCAACAGAAGTAATGCTACATAGGTTTAAACGCTTAGTACTTATTCCCCCTGCGAATCATACACTGTCATTTCCACGATTTTCTTGTTCGTCCAATCGTAGGGCCATGCTCCGTAATCGAACTGATATTGGCGACCCCGGCAATTGACTCACGTGATGTAGTCCGGGCAACTCCGCCCGGCAATCATTCCGCAGTCGGTGACGCCGGGCAACTTCAGTAACTGTCTTCCTGTTCCTGATCACTCTCCGCTCCCTTCCCTACCCCAATCGCCCGTCAAGATGGCCGCTGCAATCAAGGCGATCAACGCAAAGATCCGTTCCAACAAGGTTCTGGACTATGTCTGCTCTACACGTAAGTGCAATCCCAAGCCGTGCCATGCTTCTCTTCTCGACCGAGATCGGCCTGTCTCAAGTCTTGCATCCGTAATACAGGCAGGGAAAGTGATCCATGGGCTCCTGCTATGGTTGCCCTTGGTCCTTATCATGGCGTCACTGGATTCATTCCGAGGCGAAGAACAATGACTAATTGAGCCTGTCTTACCAGATTTCTGGGGCCCTGTCTCCAACTTCGGTATCCCCGTTGCTGCCGTGATGGACACCCAGAAGGACCCTGAAATGTACGCGCGACCACTTTTCCATCCCTTTATTCCTCCCGGCGCAGTTCCTTCACCCTCATGACACAGATATATGACAAGAGAAAACCAACTAACCCAACAAACAGCATCTCCGGCCAGATGACCGGCGCCCTTGTCATCTACTCGGCAACCTTCATGCGCTACGCCCTCGCCGTCTCCCCTAAGAACTACCTCCTCTTCGCCTGTCACGCCATTAACTTCTCCGCCCAATGTACTCAAGGATACCGCTACCTCAACTACTGGAAGTATGTTGCCCTCAGATAATTAGAGCCTGTTACGCAAGGGGTTAGAAGAAGCTAACCTAATGTAATAGCTGGGGAGGCCGTGAAGCTAAGCTCGCTGCTGAAGCCACTCAGCAGGGCTTGCAGGCCCCCGAGGCTGGCGCATAAATGATCCGAACCTTGTCTTTACCTGCCGCGTGGCCGAGAACAAAGGATGCCCGTTTTCAATCAGTAGTAGATTTAGACCTCACAAGAGACAAGTGGCCAATGGATGGCGATTTGTGGAATACAGATCGGATCGGACGCAAGAGGCTGGCCTCATTTAACACTGGTTTTCTTTGGGTAGAAGAACGGATTGCGTGCGGCTTGAGCCGACTAGTAGGTAGTCGGCCTTCACCTAGTTATTTTTATGGACTGGCATTGGCTAAAGGGCCTTGAGGCTTCTGGTCTTGTTTCTATCATATTTTCATGGCATTGGGCTGTGGTATAGTGCAGCTTGCATGGCGAGGGTTCAGGGTGTCTTTTGGCCTTTGCTGTCTTTACTGTTTTGTATATAACAATATCAGGTGAAATCTAAATGGATTCAAGGGGAAACAATCATGGTGTTTCTTTCGTATAATTCTTGTCTGCGCGGTATTCTTGAAACAATTTGGTACATAGCAATGGCAAGCAGGATGGGTATTCACAGTGTACACCAATTTAATCACGGAGAATTCCATCTGGGATGTTAGATAGAAGGGAAAGCTAGGACAAAATGTCAAAATAGTGTCCCGAAATTCAGTCTTGCTATTCAAACAGAGCAAGTTTTATAACATAGCGTCAATCATTCATGTTCAGGAGGGCGCCTACTTTGAGGCGACCAAACGTTATAGACGTTGAAAGCGACTGGAGAATCTGCTAACCAGACTTCGAGTCACAGTATCCAGGGGACTGAGGAGCTCCTCCTCCGACCCAGTTTGCGAGAGTCAGTGAAGTCGTATAGATGCAACTAATTACGCCGAAGATGGTAAGGGCAATGTCAGCGATCTGCTGTTTTCTTGAATGCGCACAGGCTCTCAAATGCAACAGAGGCTACAATCGACTAGGTTAGCGTTATATGTCACCATTAAGCAAGTGGAATTTGGGGGCAAATACCGGGTATACGTAAATAAGTGGAACGCAGGCAAAGCTACCGACAAGTGAGACAAATTTGTCAAGATCGTCTGCTCCACCCCACCCAACAAAAGCACAAATCATGACAAGGAAGAAGCGGAAACAGTTCTTCTGCCATTTGATTCTGGGGTTATACTTGCCGCTGCGTGTGAAGAGCTCATTTTCCATGATTCGGATAGCTGGGAAGAGCTGCAGAGGTGTGCTCAGCAGAATCGCAAGCGAATAAAGGAATTGGACACCATTCACAAACTTGTCGTCTTGAGGAAGGTTGAGAATAACCACAGTTTTCGTTGCAGATCCGTACGCAGCATAGCTCAGCGCACCAGCAGAGAGGAAAATAATAGTGATAATAACCATTACACCAGCGAGAACGCCAGGGAATTGCTGTGGACGCTTCATCGACTCTTGTATTGGGATGATGAGACCAATACCCTCGTAAGTGAAAATAGCCGTCCCGATGAAAAGCGTCCACGTAGATGGATTGAAGGATATGATATCCGAAACACCGCCTTGTGCAGAGATAGTTAGGATATCATAGTAGTAAAGGTAGATCAGACCAAGCAGGATGAAAACATCTGCAATTAGAGCCGTAAACCCAAGCTTGCTGATATCGCGGATCAATGAAAGAGGTAGGAAGATGACCAGCTGTATCAAGACCATGAACTTGATGTCAATGAAGGATTTGCATTTGCTGACTGCAAGGACGAATGCCTGCAAATTCTCAGCAGTGAACACAATATATGCAGACACAAATCCCAATTGACTCAGGACTATAGATCCAAGGATAATGCGGCGCATATGCTTTCCATAAAGGATGCCGCCAATATCACCAAACGAGCCATCAATTTTCAGTCGGGTGTTGACAAGAAGTATGAAAGCATAGAAGCTGAGAAGCGACACACCAAGTAAGACCAGACTACTAAATAGCATACCGCCGTTGAGAAAAGCTCTTGGAAGGAACAAGACCCCTGTACCAACGAAAGACTTGAGCAGAAGTAGAGCTGCTCCAGTTCTAGTGTTGGTTCCAGTACCTCCACGCGGCTTCCGTTTTCTTCTTCCAGGAGTCTCAGGACGAAGGAGGGCTGATCTTTCTCCCGGCTCTCTGCCATCCTCTTCCCAAGCGTCAGAGAAGTACTCATCGGGTCCCAGCACTTCGTCATCTTCTTCTAGCTCCTCTCCTGCAAAGTGGCCGAAAAGAGTCAAAAATTCTAAGAAGCTGCTGGTTGGAAGCTGATGTTGAGGCAGAGGAGGCTGTGGTCCGGGGCCATCAGAGCTTCCTGGAAGGTTTGAGGCTACAGTTCTCCGGATATAGTCTCTGCGGAATCCTCCTGGTATGCGAATGCTGTTGATGTTCATCGTCTCATCCTGTGGCGTGGGTCGATTTATGCTGAAGCTTTTACTCCGATTGAATCTCGAAGGACTTCCTGCTTCTGCACCTTCTGCCCACCTGTAAACCTGCCTTGTAATGTCACCTCCTTGAAGCTGCAAGCTGGAGAATTCCTCGTCATTTGTGACATCCCCAGAAGCAGCATCATCTCGACTCTCAACAGTATTTTGCGGTAGTACCAAGTGTCGTTTGACGACTTCCGGGTCTTCATACGGCCCTGCTGAGTATTCTGAGCCTTCCCACCCGGTCTTATTGTCAAATGAACCATAGTTGGACCTGATTGGCTGAGCCTGCTGCAAGGCAGGGGAATCAGCGCGTCTTGGCGGAGTCCCATGCCTCGGAGGTGAGCGACCGAGGCTTTCTTGGAGGGCAGATGCGATCATAGATTGCCCAGGACCTGGTAGAGACGCTAAATTATCCACTTTCCGGATATCCTCGCCTGTGCTTGTCGCTGGTTGGATCGGTACCGGCAGTTGTCTGGTTGCATGGGGATATGAGCTAGCTGGAGAAGGTACTGGGGATGCTAGCCGTGCAATTGAGATTTGCCTCGAAGAAGCTTCCGCTGAGGGAGAGCCAGGGCGCAATGCGCTCGTCGAGAGCGGTGTTGACTGACGAGGTTGAGATGAGGAACCTTCCCCATTGTCTGCATGTGTGGGTGAAGCCATGACTTGATATTGGATTATGAAGCAACACAGGAGAGCTTAAAGTTTCCTTAGTTTGAAAATAACGCTTTGCTATATTGACGCCCTCTACCTAGCGTTGCTAGACGCGAAGGGTTATAGCGAGCCGTATGTACGGAGTACTTGTAGGATAATCTTAAGGAAGAGCTGGTTTACAGTAGACCAGGACAGAGTAGAAACAATCTACTGTATGTTGTGTTCTCTTCATAAACAAGCGAAGAGAAAGGAAAAGGAAAAGGAAAAAAATATTTGGAAATCACTATTCGCCCAGCCACCCAACAACACAAACAAATTGAAAGACGAAGGAAGCTTCAGCTTTCCTTGGAGTCGATGACAATGGGAGTCACTGGACCGGACCGGCGGTGGAGTTTGCACTGTTTGTCTGACTCGGCAGATGAGATCATCTCCAGCCATGGACCCATGTCTTTCATGGCATTTACTAGTGGCAACCAATGCCACATAACGCCTCCTAGATCTACTAGGTACGGAGTACTATATGAGGTATCGTGTTTTCTCCTTTTTTTTTTCCTGAAGCGCAGACTTTTCTTACAGTGGTGTGTTTGCTTTTTTTTCTCCTACGGTTAACTCTACTAGGTTGTGCGTTCTGTCAGTCCTTATCGATACGATACTTCACTGTTTACTGTAGTGAGAATCTGTCCCCACTTGCATTATTGTATGAAAAAAGCACTGAATATCCTCTTGCAATAAGAAGTTGGACGTATCCGATGACGCACAGCCGAGACGAGCGTACCTCGGACTCGATGTCTCGGAGAAGGCCCAACTTCTCAACACGAACTGCTCAAGAGGATGTCTCTAGACTGGCTCCAAGCGATTCCCCCATTGCATCTCCCGAGGAGAACAGCAGGTTCCCCAATTGGAGAAATGCGCTTTCACTTCGCCCGTACGAGCCATTGAACTCCTCTTCTCATACAACAGAGCGTCAGCGCCACTCGTTGCCCTCGAATTTCTTTGGTAGCATATCCCGCTGGTGGGACAAACCCGACAATGATGAACTGCAAGGTACTTCGAACAGAGCACACCTACCCATTGACCTTCCTACGGGGCCACTCCGAGATTCTAGTGTGGACCAAAAGGAACGAAATGGCCAAAAGAATCGCGCTTCTGATAGTGCTTCAAAACTCGGAACTTTCTCGGGAGTTTTTGTGCCGACCACCTTGAATGTCCTAAGCATTCTGATGTTCCTTCGCTTCGGATTTATCCTTGGGCAAGCTGGCCTGCTAGGGATGCTAGGTAATTTGAATTACTCTGCCTGTGTAGCCTCCAATGGTGACTAACCGTGGTCTGAAGGCTTGCTCGCTGTTTCATACACTATCAATTTGGTGACCACCATGTCTCTTTCTGCCATCGCGACTAACGGAACTGTCAAAGGAGGGGGCGCCTACTATTTAATCTCTCGATCGCTGGGCCCAGAGTTTGGCGGTTCCATTGGTATAGTGTTCTACTTGGGCTATGTGTTGAATACTGGTATGAACGCAGTTGGTCTTGTTGACTGTTTCACGCAAAACTTCGGAACAGAGTCTGGCACTTTATCCAATTTTCTTGAAGAAGGTTTCTGGTGGCAGTATCTCTGGGGCACCATCATTCTTCTTACCTGCACTGGGATCTGCCTAGCTGGGAGTTCCATTTTTTCTAGAGCAAGCAACGGTCTACTTGTCATTCTGCTGGTTGCGACCTTCAGCATACCGGCATCCGCGATCTTTATGAAGCCATTTAGTATTCCCAATCTCCATGTGACATTCACTGGAGTGCGCCTTCAGACACTGCTGGAGAATCTTAAACCCAGGCTCACCAAGGGCGCTGCTGGCAGCCAGATCCACGGAAAGGAAACCTTCCAGGACCTCTTTGGAATATTGTTTCCTGCTACTGGCGGTATATTCGCGTAAGTGGATTATCGGTTTATGATGGACGTAGACTCATGAAGTCATAGTGGTGCCAGCATGTCGGGGGACCTGAGGAACCCCAGTCATTCGATCCCAAAGGGTACACTTTCGGGGTTGGCTCTGACATTTGTCACCTATACACTTGTAATAGTTGCGATGGCGTCATCTATAACAAGGGAGTCGCTGTATAAGAATAGCGATATCATCCAAATGGTAAGTTTAGATGCAAACTTG